CATGGGACAATATGAAAATCTCACATCACAATTATCCTGGCCAAAGTAATTGTGACCCACGATATTATCACGATAATCATCCACAACATACCAGAATCACTTTCCCTTACATTTTATTAAGAAACTAATATTTTTATTTCATCATGGATAAGACATTTCCCAGTCATTGGGCAATGGGCAAACCAAGCCTTCAGCCAAGGTTTGGGATATTTGAAAGATGTGGACTTGAGACTGTACACTAGCAATCTACACTACTTTTTCAAGTTGCTCGTGAGAATATTCGCGATTATCCCAGTATTTTATCACAATACGCGATGATTTCATCTATCGTCCCATCCCTCTTCATGTGTGTGCAAGCATACATGCAGGCACACGCACACAGACATTCATTTTCTTACAGGGAAACATTTTAAACCATCCCTTTATTTTATTTATCTTTAAACTTTTCATTTATCTTAGCAATTGTATTGGCTTTACCTGGTTATTAATCCTTAGAAAGCATTATAGTTCAATTTGATTCATTCACCTCTGGCTGTGTTTTCTGTTGTAAGAAAGTAAAAGAAGAACACGTTCACTTCCAAAGCAAAGATTACTGAAACATTTGGTGTTCATTTGGATGCTGTGTGCAGTGGAGCTATCTCACTGTTTTTTGTTTTTCCTCCATACTACTACTACTGTGTTACATCGATTTTGACATCTGGATGTAGGTGTTGTCCTTTAGGTCTTAGTGAAAGTAATCCCTGCAGCCATTGGGCTAAACACATTGTTGATTAGTCTGAATGTGGTTCAGAGCCAGTGTGTCAGTAGAGGGCTTTCACATATTTGTAGATTTTTGTGCAGCTTTGAAGTGTTTCAGTTCTGCCTTATTTAAGATATGAACTGTGGGTGTCATTATCTAGCTGTCATGCTGGATGGAGTGGGTTGAAGTTTCTGCTGACGAGTCTCAGGTCAGAGTTGCACTATTTGACTAATAGTAAAAGATGTCGTGTAGGATATCCCCTAGAATTTACTGATGGGCGACAAATAAAATTTCCTTAGTGAGATGTTGGGCCACAGCTTCAAATCTTACGAATTCCACTGGAGGGATTATCACCGTTCATCCAAAAGCTATTCCCTCATTTTGTGTTGTGACGATGATGGTGGAAAGCGCCATCCAAACCGATCCGGTGACTACGGAGGCCGTAGTCTATGATTCATTTTCATTCTCATCAAAACCTTCAGTGACCTCTGAGTAGAAACATTTGCATTCATCATGTTTCTCCTCTCATTCTAGTCAGACATTTCCTTTAATTTGTCACCCATCTGTTTCACCGTCTGTAGACCTAGGCTAGGTTTGTGTGTATATGTATTGATGTGTTAGTGAACCGATTATTAGGAGGTAAATCACAGTGGATGCCACATTTCATGCTTGTGTTTTATGTTACTGTTGTAGCCGTTAAATAGGCTTCAAATACACTGTGACTGAATTTAATTGACTTTAAACTTTGGGTGGGAAAGTCTTAACAGCACAGTGATTAACAGAAAAAAAGAGATCTTTTTTGAGAAGTTGAAAAAATAAAAAATAAAATTTACAACAGGATAAAAGCCATCTTTTTTAAAATTCCATCAGTGTTCTTCACGTAAGATATTTGAATTACTGCATTAGGGTATTGAGCTTCTTCTCATTTCAATGCATTTGCATTCTTACAAGGCATAGGAGTGGTTCCAAGAACTTGTACTGCTTTGGTATACTTTGTTAAACAGAGCGATGCCAGATCAGTATATATTAACTTAGTATTTGAAAACGTCATGAATTACCTAAAAACCTTTACGGCAGCTGCTTTTAGAGATTTGAAGGACTTGTAGTATCTTTGAGGAACTTTAAAAGAATGATCATTGGCTGATGTAGTCAGATTATATTAACATGAACATTTATTTACTTGACTAACACACAGACAATGACCTCACTCACAGTGCTGTAGCTCTCTGGGTAGAAACAGGCTTGTGGTTCTCTGAGCTCTGACCCTTGACTCTTCTCTCATGTCCACAGAGGAGATTGGCCTACAGTGAATGGCGTAGAACTGGCTCAGAGGATGAGGGTGATGAAGAGTACAGCTAGAAGTTAGAAGTGACAGCTGTAGTGTAGTGTCAGTGTTTTGTCTGTAGTCTGTGCTGCAGGTTTTCTGCCTACTGTCTGTCAGCGAGAATTTAATCAAACCCAAGAAAGGACTTTGAGTCATTTAAGGATTTATTTATTGTGTATTTTATATTTTTAGTTGTTTATTTACTTGATATGTGTTTTCTTTATTTTTTAGTTACATTTTCTTTCATTTCCAATCCTCCAGTTTTCTTTTTCTTTAATCATTTTCTCACATTTCTCAATGAAAACCTTTTTCTCATTGTTTAGAATATTCATTCATTCATTGTCTCAAAAAAAATCCTCCTTCTTTGTGTCTTTTTTCTTTATGAATTAAAGTTTTATCATTCTGTCATTCACTGCCACGATCCACTGCCCTCATGTTCTCAATAAAATGTTCATATTTTCAACTTCTACCATCTGTTGTCTTTCTTTGATCCCATCTTTCCTCACCAACCACAACATTTTCCACTTTCATGAGAGTAAATATGCATTCGTTTATTAGCTCATGTTTGTGTCATTTGGAGTATAGAAATGATCATGGAACACAGACATCTGGGAATTCATACTCTTAGTTTAATTCAGACACTGAGTTGTTGTTTTTAGTCTTATTGTTTAGTTTAAATGTTCACTTTCTTTCTTTCTCTCTTCAGAAAATTGAGAATGGACGTTTTGCCAAGTACAGATACTTCGCTCATGCCAAGGTCAATGACTCAGACTTCCTCATGATCACCAAGAGGTGAGTGTTTTTAGCTTTAGAAAACAGATTTTTAAATTGCTTTCTCATATTAAAGATGGAGTTGTGTTTGGGATGAGTATTGCATTATGTTTTGTTTGAAATCAGTATATCTCTATGTGTATTCGTCCAATTGTCAGTTAGCTTTAGACAGCTAGTTAGCCACTCAAACAGTGTATTGTACTGTATCCTTTACCTGTGGAGTCCTCAAAGATAAGATCGATAGATATTCATCGCTTTTTCTAACCATTTTTATGTGGTTTCTTTTCCAGGGGAATATTTTTTGTGACCAGAGGCACATTTGGCCAGCTGACCTGTGAATGGCAGTATCTGTTCGAAGAGTTCACGAAGGAACCAATGATTGTAGAGAGCCGCCGACTTCGCATTGAGGCCAAGGTACAAACGCTAACTCTTACAACTGAAATCCAAATACGAAGATTCCTTTTTTCCCCCTTAAAAACTTTAAGGGGGACAATTATTTAGCATGTTATGGCACTAAATGCCTGGTCTTGTGCACTGCAGGAGAGAGTAAAGTCTGTCTTCCATGCCAAAGAGTTTGGGAAGATCATAAACTTCAAAACCCCTGAGATAGCCAAGGTAAGTTGACGATTTGGACTCTAAGAAGCTGCTATTCAACTCATGTTTCCTTGTGTCATCCAGGCCAAAGGTTTGCGTCCAAAAACCTGCAGTCAAAGTAAACGATTGTACTAAAATTAGTTCTAACTTTTGTTCTTTATTTCTCTCAGTGGGTTCTTGCCAAATTGGAGGATGCAAGAGAGAGTCTACCCAAATACTGACTCATCAAGAAGAGCGAGAAATGATAAAAATGTTAAAAAAAATGAAAAAAGAAGGAAAAGAAAAAAACACACAGTCTGTGTGTGTCAGTGCCTTTGTTCTTTACTGCATGCTACTTTTATTTACCACCATGTGTGAGTAGTGGTGAAGACACACAAACGATGCTGTATGTTGACTGTTAGTGTGTGTCGGGGGTGAAAGAGCTGTATGTATGTGAGCATGCCCACAGAAGTGCTATAAATTGACAGCAGATTCACATCCATTAACCACAGAAGCTCAGAATGCATTGAACCAAACTTTGTGTCCCTCTCTTCGCTCCAATTGCACTCATACCTTTGCGCACATGCTGTAATAATAATTTTTAATGATTTATTTTATGAAAATTAACGCTTAAAGTCTCGAGATGTCAAATAAGTCTTATCACTCTCCGCTTGTGTCTGAAATACTGCTGAAATGAGAGGATCTTCAATTTCCTGGCCTTTAGTTTGCCATGCTTCTGTTTGCCTTACTTGATCTAACACACATTAAGTCACTCATTTTATTTTTATTTTCAGTTGTGTTCAACTAGAGAAGCTACACTATTGCAGTGTATCAGCTAGTCAGAGATACAGTAGAAAACAGTTTGAATAAACACTGAGGCCAAATCTACCATAACTGTTGTAGCACATTTAATGTTTTACAGTGTTAGTTTTACTGGAATATATAAAAGGGAAACTAATTAAAAATTTGAGTATGGCATTATAACACATGTAATAAAAAAAAGTGCTGTCTTTTCAAACCTGTTTTCTTTTACTCTCTCTCTTACTCTATTTTTCCTTTTTTTATACATTTCTGCAAGTTGAAGACTGTTCAGTTTGTGATTTAGAGACGCATGCTATTTTTATACCGTACTTACACCTATCAGTCTGCTGTATATTGATCTAATGTAGTATCCTACCTGTATATATCCATACTCACACAGTAGTATGTATTACGGAGTTACAGAGTGTAATTTTGTGATTTTTATGTTTTTATACCACACATATGCAATGCCAACTATGTTGATGAATTATGCAGAGAAAAGTATATTTAAAAGAAATGAATGCTAATTGTTATCAGCTGCTGTTTACTCTGACGTGTATTTTAAAGGTTTGCTATTGGTTTTGGGGTGCATCGCAGTTTAATAAGACTAAATATTTCTTTTGCCATTAATGTTTGTCATTTATGTTTTTTTTTGGGGGGGCAATGATGTTCACTGCAGTGGCTTAATGTTTTTGCCCCACTGTTTTAAAAAAATTAAAATATGTGTCTCAAATGTCAGTGTCCTCATGCATTTATTTCTTGTACCCAGAAGAAATTGCACTCTTCATGATGTAACTATAATTGTTTATTGAAAATTACCATGTATATGATTTCCATTTCAACAGTTGAGTGGTTTTTCAAAGCACAACCTGGATCATTTACATCTAAAACAAACTCAGTGGCTGTGTTGAGTGTCCTGAGTAAATAAGCTACTTGCAGGCACAGGTGGCTCAGTGACAAGGGAGAAAATGGTATACTTTATATTAAATCACAAAACTCAGGACTAAAGGGAACGCTTACAAACAGCATTCCATGAGAGGGAACTGTATACCAGTTAAAACACTAGGATCCTATTTCTGATAACTGTATTTCAAGAAATAATAAAATAAGTAATCCACACAATAGGTCAATGATGTGACTTTACACTATTTTTCACATTCTCACTTCTGCTGCAAAGTATTATTTTCTTACAGTACATTTCTATATAGGCTGGAATGGGAACTACAAAGTACACACAATACACAAAAAAGCATTGCATTTCAGACTGCAACCTACAGAAACAGTAGTTTGTCTCATACATGTTCGTATTCTCTTTGGCTGAACTTTAACAGGCACAAAAGATGAAAAACAAGAATCTTGTCAGTGGTTGTGTAAACAGGGAGGAACTATGTAAAATCAGATTGTTCTTGGTTTAAACAGCCAAGAAAAAGTTTTGTTTTATGTAATTCTCTTATCTTGGCTCTCCTTCTACCCTCTTGCATCACTTTGTCTCCTCTCCTGTCCTCCAGCTCCTTTTTACACCAGGTTGAACTCCCTCAGGTTGTGTCTGAGGATGGTGTCTTTGACGGCCACGAAGACGAAGCGGATGTTTTCTGTGTCTGTGGCGCAGGTAAAGTGAGGGTAGAGTGTCTTGTCCTTGTCTGGGTTTTGTTCTTGGTACATTTTCAGGATGAATTCTTGAGCTGCTGTAGCATCCTGCTGAGGTCCTGCAATTCAGGGTTGATATTTCAGTATGTTTTCAGTAAAAACAACATTATAATTTGTATTATTTGTTTAAGAGAGAAAAATAGTTTCTCTTCTCTAAAGGTTTATAGATATGATTTTTATTTTTTATTACTGCAGGCACACCTAAAACTAATGCAGTTTAATACAACAGTCTTGCAACAAAGGGAGGGGGTGTGTTTTTTTTTTTTTCAAAAATGAGCATCTAACCGCATGGACACAAATGACCTACCTACATTATATGACTTCAGGATGGTTATTCAAACTAACCTGTGAACTCAGGGAAGTAGGTGGCTACGTGAGAGTATATGATCTTCTCCTTGAGGATGTCGGTCTTGTTGAGGAAAAGTATGACCGAGGAGCGCTGGAACCAGGGATAGGTTATGATGGTTTTGAACAGGGCCTTGCTCTCCTCCATACGGTTCTGAAATTAAAAAGGCACGGTTGACGACACATTTTAACGGATAAAAGTCTAGGAACGGGATCTTGTTGAGTTGAATTCTGACCTCGTTGTCGCACTCAGCCAGGACCTGGTCGTACTCGCTGAGCGCCACCAGGAAGATGATAGAGGTGACGTTCTCAAAGCAGTGGATCCACTTCCTCCTCTCTGACCTCTGACCCCCCACATCCACCATCCTGCCATAACAGCCAAGCCAAAAAGTCACCTGTTGTGTCCTACTGTGTGGTCAGATCCAAAGCACCATACGTAAGCCATTACCTGTCGGGCTGGTGTGTTATCTCTCACCTGAAGATGACATTCTCCATGTCAAACGGGTACTCGATGATACCTGTGGTTGGCACTCGGACTCTGAGGATATCCTGCAGGTCAGGTAAGTAAGAGGGTTGTGAAATTCGATCCAGGTCAGTGAGATAGCTGAAAAAAGGGGAGAGAAAATAGTAAGTAAAATAACAGAATTGGGGGGATTTTGTGGCTATAAAAACAGGTAGAAAACGCACTACCTCCACTTATTTCATTTCTGAATATTCTAGTCATATTGAATATTTAAAAACAATGGTTCTATGGTGTAGAGGGGTTTCCTTGTATTATATTGCAATGTCTAAGTTATTTTGTCCAAGCTGTGTAATATCTGTGGTAACTATTTGGCAGAGCTGAAGAGAGGAGAATCTCTGTGTGCACATCACGTGTCCTATGTCTTCTGCTCACTATTTGGTGGAGTCAGACAGCTGGTATTCCCTGCGTCGGTCGTAGCACTCCTGTACTCCTGCATCGTCCCACAGACTCTTGATGGCCGCCGCAAAGCTTTGATCTAACTCCTCCACCTTATCCACTTCCACCTCCAGCACTGAGTTTGCATGGCTCTATGGACACACGGACAGACATGAAGACAATTAGAAAACGGTCCATCCAACACGTCCACAACTTCTCTTACTTTGTGGGAACAGATCAAGGAAAGGAAAAGAAGCAGGAACCCATTTTATTTTGCTATATGCCACTTTTCCTTGTACTTTATCCAACCCCTATAAATGACATTAATATCCTGATATTTTATTTTGTTATGAGAATATAGTAAACAACATCGAAATATTTCTGTCTCTGTCCAGGAACTTCATCCAATGATTTGTTTGTAATGATCTGCAAGAGGAGGTTTTACATGTTTTAGACTTTTAACTACAACTCATACACTGTATTTTGCATTCCTGTTGACTCAAAGCATACCATGAGTAATTTTAATATGTGATACATGATATGTAGATATACATATAGATGTACTGTGTGTGTAGAGCAATATATTCCCTCCGTACTCTGCACTGGAGCTGATATCTGTGATTTGGGGAATTTCCTTCATGACTCTGGAGTCTGTCTCTTCTGCAGAGCATGTTCTATTTATAATAACATAACTTTATTTATATATCATGCATAGAAGAGATGAGAAAATCTGTTGAAATTTGCTGATGTGGGTCTAATTTATGTCTGTAGACAAACTGTGAATTATTCATATTTTATATTTTATCATGCATATGGGCTAAGGACAGTTTAAAAGGTGCTAAAACAAAGACATGAATGAATGGAAACAGGCAGTTTTTCCTTGCCCTTGTCGCCAAGTGCTTGCTCATGGTGGTACTGTTGGGTCTCTGTAAATAATGTTATAAGGAGTTCGGTCTACACCTGCTCTATTTGGAAAGTCTCCTGAGATAACTTCTGTTATAAATTGGCGCTATACAAATAAAATTTAATTGAATTGAAAATTGTCAAAAATGAACCAAAATGTATAAAAGAAAAGTTCACACTGACAGAAAAAGGACAGTTTAACTCTGCCTGTACCTGATTCTGGGGATCAGAGAAAGCGATACTAAGTGTCTCCATGGCTCGGACCATGGTCTGCATGGATGTGTAGATGTTCTGGAAGACCAGTTTGGCGTAGCTCCTCTTGTCCTCATCTGTGTATCCTCCTCCATGGATAATCCTCATTTGTTTGATAAAGGTACTCTTTCCACTCTCTCCAGTACCTGTTGGATACAGCAAGGGTGAAATCCAATAATATATTTTTATAAATCCAATACATGCAAACGTCTGCTGGGTGCATGGGGAGACAGGAGTGGAGGGTTCAGGATGCTGATCAATATAATGACATGGAGTTGTTATATTCGTCTGTTGTTTGAAGGTAATTTTGAAAATGTTCATGCCCATTTGTCAGCAGTATTAATCAATGCAGAATTTTGAATGTTTTTGGCTTTGAAAGAGGATCATGTTGACAGCTAAATGAATTTTTGTGATATGTGAAGCCAGACAACAGGCTCTCAGATGATTAAGTGTTCAAAGTAAAAGTATGTGAGTACTAGCAGCAAAATGTCTAAATATCTTAATTATAAAAAATAAGTTATAGTTATAAAAGTACTTAATATGCAGGCACATTATTGAAGTATTTTTTTTTACTCATTTAAGAAATGTAGGAGGCTAAACACTTCCATCTGAAATGTAGTGGAGTATAAAGTTGCATAAAATGTTAATACTAATAAAATAAAATAGTAGTCAAAATTGCACTTAAGTGCAGTACTTGAGTCAATGCACTTTCCACCACTGCTCTATATACATATATGTGAGCTGACAGTTGACTAGCAGCTATATTACAACCCCCCATCTCTCTGTGTCTGTGCAGCTTGTTAGACAAGTTAAAGTAAATACTATAGTACAGTCTTTGTGTTTTACCATTTTTTTTCCCTTCAGAGGTTTAGGTTCAGATTAATGTGTGTGTTCATGATAGTTTCATGGGGCTCTGTAGTCTCGGCAGTCTGTGTTTGGACATATACTGGCTTTCTGCTGTTAGTCAGACACACGCTACTTAAGAATCCCAATTACTTATATTTCACAAAACAAATTTTAATTAAATTAACTCAAATGTTCACTAACTTTATTAGTTTAAACACACACACACACACACACACACACACACACACACACACACACACACACACACAGACAGACACACAGTTTCTGTTTCTCAGTTTCTTTCTACCTCTTCTGCTCCTTATTTTCTCATTCAGACCATGTGATGCTGAATCTATTTGTTTAACAAATTTGTGTTAGTTAACAGACCTGAATATTGGAAGTTGCTGTGTCTGTGTATGTAGGCTTGTGGCATGTATGTGAATGTGTGTGTGGGAATATAAACCTGCATCTGTATCCCTGGCTCTCAGTGTGTTAAAGTTCTGTGATGAGCCTGAGTGGTGCCAGCAGTTTTCTGGTTTCCTGGCTGTTTTGCATGGCATGATGAATGCTTGAGTCTTTACATCTTAGCAAACAAGGCTTAAACAAATTGTCTGCATTTGAATGCACCTTGTTTACAAGTCAAGTTTCTTGGAGATGAGAGGCAAGATCAGCAGGTAAACTCCGAGATGGAGGCAAATCATGAGCCTGCACGTCTTCTGTGTTTTAGAGAGAGACAGCCTTAGATGAACTTGCTCTTTTATCACTGTAATGTATGTATGTATGTATGTAGATGTATGTAGTTATTTAATTGGCCCTAACATCATCATAACATTAAACATCTTTTGGATCTGTGCTGTTCATGAGTATCCAAACAGGAAACACATAAACTCTAATAATCATTTGCATTTTAATATTTTTATTGATTATTTTATCAATTTATTTTATCTGTTTTTAACTTATTGCTATAAAAAGTCATACACAAGTCTAGTCGTTATTGTTTCTGACCTGATAAATCATTAAAAATGACATGAAACTGTTTTGTTCATCTACTAAATAATCGAGTTTGGCCCTTTTAGTGAACACACACACTCATATGGACCATAAAGTGTTGAATATCTGTATATTTTCAATGAAAGTTCTCCCTAAGTGGACAGAAGTAGCTCCAATAAACTTTTTCATAAATAAGAAATCCTGAATGACCTACCAATTAAATAAAAATGCCAATTTCACATGTACAAATTATTTTATTATCATCTGTGATCAGGGACATCTTGGCCCGGAGACAACATGTTTTTGATGGAAAGCCTGCCTCACAAACTGGGGGTGAAGGTCAGAGACATTTACCAGCCAGAGAAAGCTTAATGAACAGATGCATGATCAAGCTGCAACGTAAGAAGTGCAACATGAAATCACTGGAGTAAATGAGCTAAAAATGAGCTTTTGCCTAACTAATTTAAAGAAATGATTTATGCTGCATTTTGGTGGCTTGTGTGTTTCTAAACATAAATACATGTTTACTAGTTAGTAAACTAGCTAGTAATAGAAAGCATCCTGACTGGAAAAATAGTGTATTTTAATGACTTACTATTTATTCCTCTGTTTTGTGGGTAGCATAAAGGGGACAACAACTTGTATTTTGTCATACAACCCAGTTTTGTAGAATGATAAATAAATTAACCTTGTACCTGGTATTTGTGCGTGTCTATCTGAGTGGTGCAGTGTGGCATTTTGCAGTTTCCCTGTGGGGAAATTCTGACCACAAATGCCTCTCTACACGCAAACACACACACACACACACACACACACACACACACACACACACACACACACACACACACACACATAGTAAGTAGAAATTCGACATTCACATGTATACATATTTGACCACAATCTCACATCAATCATCACACACCTCGTTGGGGGAGCATGGTGACTGCTGATATGTCATCGTTCTAAGATCTACTATCACCTGTTTTACCTACCACGGCAGGTGAGGTTACTGTCAAGGTCTCCCGTATGAGGGAATCAAGTATGAAATGTATGGCAGCCATCACACAAAAACAACTCCTAATACGTACCCAGTAGATTTTGTCTGTGTGTTCATTCGGTATGGACATTTCCATCCACCAGGAGCATCAGGTGGTTTCAAAATCATAAACTGGTAGAATGTGTTATTAATGCTGACTGTTTTACGGCTGTTTCAGACACAATAATAACCAGAAAGCATGGGAACAGTTGTGTAATGATAATGCAAAACTAAAGTGGTGGCAAACGAGAAGTCCCCATTCACAAAATCTCAATCCAGTTTATTCTTGTTTTCTCAGTTTTTCTCTTTCTGTGTTACTAAATATATTCTGTTTCCCTCTTCATAAACAAGACCGGGAGTGTTCTCTTGGAGTGTTTTCTGCTTGAGTTGAGTTTGTTCATACTGAATACTGATACTACATCTATTCAAATGATGGTCCGTAAATGCTTGACAAATGCTTGATTCCTGTTCTCCTTCATGTTTTATACACTTTGACTGTTTAAGTTTTTATTCATGTTTTCAAGTGATGTCCTTCAGTGAAGCTGCAGCTGAACTAAATTACCAATACTTGTATACTGTACTGTATAGAGCAGTGCGTTGCCAGTCAATGAATCAACAGAAGAGGCAGAATGTGTACATGTTGATCTTTCATTCTGCTTTACTCCCACTCGTCCTCTCTGGGGACCTGACTGTGACCATCCTAATGAAATCCACTGAGAGCTCTGAGTCACTCTTATCAAGTAAATAAATGTTATTGTTAAAGTACTTCCTTTGTAATAACTTGTAATCACTTACGTGACCTGATTCCTTATAATACTTGTTGTTACCAGGACAATCTAAAGGGTGGGATACAAAGAGATGTCACATTTTGTGTAATTTGGACACTGAGGCATCTTTTTTCTGTTGACCTGTAAAACCTGTTCCTGCTCATCAGTTGTGATGAGTGTTTTTTTCAATTCACATAAATTGTACTTAGTAACTTTGTCATCCTGGCATTCAATGAAGTGAAGCAGCATGCTCTGTAAGAGGATCCACGCATTGTCTAGCACGTTTTTCAGATCATATCCATTATTGATGCGTACCACCAAGAAAATAACTTTCAAGGCAAATTAAATGTTGTTCACAATGCATTTGGTTTAGTAGCTGAGGGCAGTAACCTGGCCTTTTTTGATCAGAGAAAGCCCTTTCTAAGAGAGCAGTGGAGCCGAATCAACAGCTCATATCCTACGTGGGGCTGGATTTGCATGATGTTTGCATGAGGTGCGCCCGTAGCAGCTAGTTATGGCTTTCAGACACACCACTGACCGAGGCCTTGACAGTGACTCCTGTGCGTAACGTGCTACCACACTGTTGCAGTAAAATGGGTTGCGTCCAGAGCGCTCACAGATGCTCTTCGGATGCCATGTGACAACACCCTGTTTCCATGTTTACTGGATCTGTCAAGTGTTCCTATAGCTACACAAGTGAACACAGAACAAAGTACCATCATGCTCACAGAAAAAAAAACTGGGGCCTCTAGCTCTTTCTTAGCTGGTATCAGACCTGCTGAAGTGTCCTTGAGCAAGTCAGTGACCTCATACCAGGAAGTAACCCTAACACTTAACTCTGACAGGACATTGGAAAAACAGAAGACCACAAAATATCACAACCATATAGCAGGACAACTCCCCTGACAAAAAGGCCAGTGAGGTTTACTGACACTGTCCATCAGATATGACAAATGGACATCACATTCATATTTTTCCTTTACTCTCTTTTCCCACTAAAACGCCCACATTTCTCCAGTCAATCATGGAGCAAGCGCATAAATCCTCCAACGCACAGATGAGAGAGATCAACTGGGAATGAATGAATGCGCTATTAGTAGCGAGTTTCGGTTTCCATATGCTACACATTTTTTTAAACTGGAAATACAATATAATTTGAAACTGTCAGATCTCTCTCTGCATGTGACTGTTTTCTGTGTGTCTGTTCCAGGTGGGAACTAAATGAACCCAGTAGACGAATCAATCGAGGTTGAAAACTCTCCATTAGTGCGTAAAACCAACGTTGAGACTAATGGCGCGCAGCTGCTCACACCCTGAATGTTCGGGCTTAAGCCAATGCGCACTGCACCACATCCAGAGACCAGAAAGTGGAATGAGGAGTAAGGAAATATGGTGTCCAGTTAGATATAAAACATACCTCCCCACACTATTTATGGCTTGGATGCTCTATGCACAGGCACATCTATCCAACCTATCAGACACCTTAAAGTATAGAGCATGGATACCCCTTACAGAGTGTGTGTGTGTGTGTGTGTGTGTGTGTGTGTGTGTGTGTGTGTGTGTGTCTGTGTGTGTTTATTCCCACATTGTACAATCTGTTATAAGTAAAATACAGTTCAGACAGGCTGCTCGACTGCTGACCCACCTGCCATGATACCTGCCTGTCCAGGCGTGGTCAGGAAGCAGTGAAGTAATGGGAAATTAAAAGCTGTCCTTGATGTCTCACTGACCCGCAACACTGATACAAACCACAACCCCAAATTAGAAACATGAAAGAATTGAAAGAATCATTTCATCAGAGGAACATTTTTTTAAGAGAAGGCACAGAAAAGATAAGGAGAACGCACCAAGATCCCATTAAGAGCACATTTTTATAGCCTATTTTTTATACCCAGAGTGTCACTTACTCCGATGAAGGCCTCTAAGAATGTGTGAGTCTGTCTAAACTCAGTGATGCTTACCTAACAGCAGCAGCTTCAGCTCCCTGCGAGAGTCCTTCTTGTCTCTCCGCAGCTGCTTCTCAATCTCCTCGTTGATCCTCTGGTTCTCTCGGTCCTCCGCCGATACGCAACATCCAGCCATGCTTCAAACTGAGCAGCTCGCTCCCCCAATGAGCCCTCTTGCTGTCAACGTAAAAAATGTTGAGGGCTTTTTTTAAATTTAGAGATGTCAGCCGCTTCTTCTTCTTCTTCTTCTTCTTCTTCTTCTTCTTCTTCTCCACTCTCTCTCTCACTTCACAAATTCAGAGGGAAAAGGGCGCAGAGCATCTTTAAAAGCCCTCTTCCTCCTCCTAAGTCCGAATAAGTAATGCAGTTTATTGAGGGAGATGAGGAGGTTTTAATAGTTTAAAGTATTCAGCAGCTAAACAGAAAGCTCTTCAATTAAGGGGAAAGTCCAGAGATTTTTTTTTTTTTTTAGATTAAAAGGCTCTGGCCCTCTTTGGTAAGGTGCTGCGGGTGGTGTGAAGCAGGAGGACACTTGTTGAACTTTATCCTGCCGACTGTGGAGGGCGTGGCGCTCTACAAATAGAAATGGATAAATGGGAAGTTCGCATCCACAGCCGGCTTTACCCCACAGAGATACCTGCGACATGCCATGTTGTACCAGCAAAAGCCAAGAATGGTGCGGTAGGGGTTCTGGGTGGGCTTAAATCAAAGAACAGATGTGTACGTAAATTGGCGTTGGTAACATGGTTGCCTGCTGCGAGACGATTCCTTGGCATGTTTTAATCCATCAGGGAAGTAATTAGAACACAGTTTCACAGCACTGCAGGGTAAAGGGAAGTAAAGGATCCTGCCCCAGTGCGTCCTCTGACTGTGCCATGCGTCCTCACGGCCACTAGGGGTCAGGAAGGCCAACTATGAGTGAATGACAGAGTATTTAAAGGATATCCTGGTGTTCATGGGAAACTGCATCTTCAGCACAAAGGTTTTTGAGGAGAATAAAAGCCAAGTATTTACAGTTTTGGTTAGTAATGTTACAGTATGATAATGCAACTGAGCGATAACACACAGGGGTCAATAAAGTGAGCATGAGTTTCACAGATCAGTGTCATTATTATAACATTCAATTAAAAGATAATAGGAAATAAAAAGGTTCTATAATGCACAAAAAGTTATAACAACTAAATACAATGTATGACCCTGTAGGGATAATATGGGGATTTCCTTTTGGTTGGGAGGATTCTAGGTAGATAAGTCATCAAATAGTGGCTGTGGACCTAAAGTAACCAGCAGTCACTAGTAACTCAAATAAAAAACAACCAGAAAAGTGGGCAGATAATAGCATTTACTGTACTTGTGTGAAATGGTGCTCTTATGGGAATGAACTGAAGATGTGAGAATGACTAACTGTAAATGTTGTGTGTGTGTGTGTGTGTGTGTGTGTGTGCCCTGACGTTTATCAGTCTTTACAAAAACTAAGAAAATAATCACAAGAGGTCTTTAGGCTTTTTTGTGCAATTTACTCTCTGTTTATCCACACTTTTGCCTCTTTTTGAACGTTCTCAATACATACATTTTTGAGAAGTTCGGACCGCTCTGTGTGTCATCATGATTGCTTTGCAACAAGAACATTTACAAAAACAGAAAGACTGAATGAGATATCATCAGCGGGTACAGATTTCACTTTTCCATTGAGTCAAGTTGAGCATTTTGCAACGGGGAATCCGGCTCATCACAAGTTGTTTTCTTCCGCGTGATCCTGGAGAGATCATTTAGAACGTGAACATCAGTCCTTCAAGGATAAAAGAAAATCTGTGAATTTATGAAATGTGATGAATTTTTGAGGAGTTGTTGCTTTGATTTTCAACCAAAAGTAGTTTTCATCTAAATAAACTTCCTTCATGGTTATATGTTTTAAATCAGAAAGTAAACAATAGCTTTGTTTACTTAACTCTACTCTTCTCCCAGCCAGCCAAGGATGAATATTTTCTCATAAAGTATTCTGTTGTCTCTCTTTTTTTCTTTTTGAGGGAGTCTGCATGTAAAAAATATAAATTACCTAAGATAACAGGAGGAAAAGGAGCTAAATTGACCTCTAAGAGGCAACTTCAACTAACATGTTGCTTGGCAATATGCTCGGGGCACATTCTATTGAACTTTATTAACACAAATCACATCTGTGTTCACTTTAGGTAGACGTTCTGAGCTTGACAGAGTTTTGTAATACAAATTGGAGTTTAAATACATCTGGCGAGAATGAGAAAGCATTATGCTCATGCTGTGATATCAGTCACAAACCCAAACTGTGATGGGGAGTAATGCTATAGATTTAAAGGCATTGAATTACCCACTGACGAGAAATGATAGGTGTAAAATGACAGAAAATAAAAAAGTCAACATACTTTTGAAAAGAAACATGTTGCTTCATTCATAAACATGTTGAATGAGTCCAAGTTTATGGATACAGGAAACATGTTACACAATTCTGATAGGAGATCATTATAATAGCACTATTTCAAAATGAGTCATTTAACTTCATATCTTCATGATTCGGAGGCAAAGAAAGCCAAGAGTAAGCTAAGTGTTTCAGACTTGAGTAAAAGAGCAGTTGATGGAAAGTTATCTTCCCCAAACTCGACCCTGCAGGTCTACATAACATTGTCCTCTATATACTGTATGCAACACTGCTCTTAAACATACTGCATAAAATTTAAACAGCAGCACACGTTTCCATTGGTGTCAGCAAGTCAACACCAGCTGGAATCTGTACTCTCTTAAAGGGAAAATCCAGCCTGAATATAACTCACATATGCTCAGAGTAATGATGAGAACAAAGTCACTCACAAAGATTGGAAACAGCCCTTTGTGGCTCATATTTATCTGACAAAATCCAATTATAATTTTAAAATTTGCCACTAAAATACAGATTCTTACTATTTACTTTCAACGTTGTGTAAAAAAAGTTAAACCACAATGTTAATCCTAGATTCACTATGAGTTCACACATTCCCGGTTTTATCACTTTTGCTTTCTGAATTACTTTTGGAGGCTCACATGGGGTGGACAGTCAAAGCTCAGTGGGCTGAATGTAGTATGAATTGTTTAAACAAGGATTTTCCCTTTAAGTTAAAAGTGACAGTTTATTGTAAGATCTTCATTCACTTCAAGTACACTGTGAACTGGACTGGACATTAAATTGTTGAAGTGGTTGCTGCCTGCCAAAATCAAGCATCTATGTAAGCATTTTCACCAGCCAGCTGAAATATCTGAGAACAACAGGACCTCCAAGCGAGGGCTGGTTCCCTGCCAAAGTGGCTTGTAGATGCCAAACCACAGCCAAATGTCAAAAAAACACTCCACAGGTGGCTGGTGGTGATTTTAAGTCTAGATTGGGACACCTTACAAGCACAGGTTCAATGCAATATAATGCACTCTGGCATAGGCTTTAAGACATGATGAATCTGATGTGACAACATTACGAAATTAATTTAAAAAAAGTGTGTTCTGATTACAATTCACTCATGATGTGCTTATAATGGCATATTAGCTACATGAGCTACACTGTTCAAAGCTGTTCCCAGGTCTTCTTATAGCACAGAATAACAAAGAGAGACCACCAAGCCAAAACCAAACAATCCTCCAGCTGCACAATGGGACATTATTGGCTGCACTAGCTTCACTTCTCATAAAAACACACAGGTGCCTTGCACGGGACTTCAGAGGCACGGCTTATTCAATAAGGCAATATGTACATGTGAACTGTTGTGTATTTTCTCCTTTGTAGTCATTTTTATAAATAAAGTCTCAAATAATACTGTACATTCTAATGAAATGGTGGCAATCAAGATGAAAATTAAGTAAAAAAAAAACAGAAAGAAATAAAGCACCTGTAAATGTATCATCCTAATTAGGCCAAATGGTTGAGTCATTTTTGCACATCTGTGTACACTGGTCAGTGACAGACTACAATACTGAGTTTTTATCAGCGTGGAGGTTCATTTGAGGGGATGTAAAGGACGATGGCACTGTTAGCACAAACAATCAGATACTAAAATCTCCTCCTTAACAAGATTTTTATACAAAACACTTTGCTGCCTGCCTACAAAGATGTTTGGTGTGAAATCTCAAAGTTAATCAATACTTATTGAGAGGCTGTGTAATGAAATCAAATACCAAAGAATAAGAATCAAAGTGTGATGTGATTACTCCTATATGACAAGTGCTCTGTTCCTGAAGCCAGTTAAGAACTAAACTATTACAATTAGCCCTGTAGATTGGATTCAGTCTGCAGTTTTACACATAAATTTAAATGTTAACAGACCGGCTACTATAAATACTGGCATACCAGTCAATCTGTTGTTGGATTATAATATTCCTCTTTATGCTGTTCTGAAGCTGAACAATGTTTCTTTGCTGAGAAATGAAACTGGCAAAACACAAAATCTATATTCTCCTCTTAAAAAGGAAACAAAAACAAACATGTAAATAACATATTTTTTCTTCCAAAAATGAATTAGCCATAAGACATACAATACAATTACATAGATACATAATTTCAATACCTCACACTCAATCTGCCAAAAAAGTAATGATTACAAAGCCAACAAAGATGCTGCCATATATATAGAGAGATGTATGTACAATGATTATAGCATTCATAATTGCACTATGCCTCAATAAATGTAAATTACAGGCTTATGTTCAAGGGAACTGTTACAAAAAAAATACAAAAGTAACTTAGGAATGAGGAATTGCAAATCAGAGGAGCCAATCAGAAACAAGAAGGGCTTACTTTGGTACAAACTCAACATCAACACTCTTGTTGGAATAAGCCAAATCTATTCGCCACTGCTATTGAACTACAACAGTCAAGACAGCCGGGCTGTGATTGGACGATAGACACAGCTAAAATGTGACTGGATAGTCTGCAGGCCAGGGGGAGGGGTTTTGTACCCAACACGCAAGGTTGTGATTGGACAGTTCCAAGCAATTCAGCGCACTGGGTGGCGTCCTCATCTCCAAACAGCCTGCTAACTAACTGTAGCTTAAGTCAGCTCAAGTTGTGAGTGCATGGAGGGAATACCATTGTTGAATACTTAAAAAAAAAAAAAAACTGCAGGTCGATCAATGAGTCAGTCAGTCCGCTCCTTCTGCGTTTCTTAAGCCCTGCTCTGTTCCTGTCCTCAACATTAGTGAACAGCGCAAAGTGAAGACTGGTGCTTGAGTTGTTTTGGCATCGGCAATAAATATACATATTACCATAACAAAAAGTGTTAATGTGGCACAGTTTAACATAATCATTTAAAACCATCGTCTTAAATTATTACCTCTTCAACTACCTTCAGTCTGTGTAAAGCAACCAGCTCCATCATGACCTTCATCATGACAGAGTAGAGGTCCCTGTGTGCCTCCTCACATGGTCGCTCAAAGACTTTTTAAAGACTCTGACACGTCTGAACTTCATGGTTATGCCGAGAACTGACATGTGACCCAACACACGACACACCGCATAATGTGAAGAATGTACTTCCACGGTCACACATGCTCTACTCATCAGATGGTACCAAAGTGAATGCAATGTAGTTATAATAATAATAAAAAAATAATAATAATAATAATAATAATAATAATAATAATAATAATAATGATTCAAGTCAATCAATACCAAATCAATATGAAATCATTTAAAAATCACAGTTTATGCCAATCAGTCCTTTGAAGGAAAAAGGTGAAGCTGTCAATTAGAGATGTGTTACATCATTTCCTGTGGGGCATACAGGTAAACGCCCGGGACAAAGCTTCAGAATGAACCAACAGGTAAGGAGGGGAGGGTTAAAAAAAAAAGGAATGAAAACCTTTTTTTCTCTGTTTATAAAAAGGCAGGAGGGAGGGAGCACATTGCATTCGTTCCAGCTCTGATGTATCAGACTGACAGGCCCCCTAAACCTCGAGTGCACAAAGTAGTTTCTTTCTTTCCATCAAAAAAAACCCCAAAAACTTCACAATGCGTAAAGCATAGAAACAAGGATCATTGCTGTACATTTTCAACAGCAAATCCCTCCCCGACTCTTCCAAATATCTTGCCCCCTCCCCCTCGCTAGATTTCATTAACTCCTTAAATAGCAAGATACCATTTACTTTGCTCAACCCTTGGGGACCAAGAGATCAACAAATGGCAAATAAATTAGTATTATGCAACCAATAGATTTTTTTTTTCTGATTTTCTTTTCATGTGTGTGTATATGATGTATCTTTTCACAGATTGTGTCAGTCAGTGTGTGCTGAGGGCCTCCTCTGCTGGCGGCCACCGCTCCGCTCTACACCAGGTTGTACTCCTTTAGGTTGAGCTGCAGGATGGTGTCTTTGACGGCGGCGAAGACGAAACGGATGTTCTCTGTGTCAGTGGCACAGGTGAAGTGAGAGTAGATGATCTTATCGCTGTCTGGATTCAGGTCCACAAACATCTTGAGGATAAACTCTCGCCCTGCTTGGGCATCCCTCTGAGGACCTAGAGAGGGGAAGACAATGCTTCATTAATACACTTCTCAACAGGGTACAACCAAAAAGTTCTAAATACTTTTGACAAGATTTGATTATCTTGCAGGCTAGTGAATTTAATCTATACTGTATATATTCAATTCAATTCAATCTAATTTTATTTGTATAGCGCCAATTCATAACAGAAGTTATGTCAGGACACTTTTCAAATAGAGCATGTCTAGACCGAACTCCTTATAACATTATTTACAGAGACCCAACAGTACCACCATGAGCAAGCACTTGGTGACTGGGGCAAGGAAAAACTGCCTTTTAAGAGGCAGAAACCTAGGACAGATCCTTCGGCTCTAGGTGGGTGGTCATCTGCCCCGACCAGTTGGGGTGAGCAAGAGAGAGAGAGAGAGACAGAGAGAGAGGGGGGGGGACATATTCATTCATATATTATTTATTTTATATTATTATAGTAACACATTGCCATACTGTCTGCATTCACTCAAGAAAAAGAACACTATTACAATTTTTGTTTGTGTATTTTTCAACATCAGGGGGATTATTCAAAGCATTTCTATTAAAAGCTAATTGTTTTTCTAACTGTCAAAAAGAAGAAATATGCTGCCGGCAGAAATTTTAAATGTTTTTCAGAAGTGAAAGTGACATCAAATTGTGTTACGATTGTCATATCTGAAGAGAAATGTTCTGTCGTGGCTGAAATAAATGAGTAAGTAATGAGAGTAATCTAACTGATTTATCATGCAACATTTTAGAGTTTATTATACTGTTGGTAGTTATTTAGGTATTTAAGTGTTATGTTTGTCAGCATAATACAGTATGTATATCATGGACCAAGACATACCAATTCATGGACGCACTATCTGTATCAGCCAATAACACCTTTAAAGACATATATCAGCATTGGTCCAATACTATTATTACAAAAATGCATTTATTTATTTAACCTTTATTTAACCAGGAAGTCCCTTGATATTGAAATCTCTTTTTCTGAGCGAGACCTGGCCAAGACAGCACACTAGTTACGATTCAAATAAAAATAAAAACAATTGACAGGGAGAACAAACCTCACACACACAAGGAAAGGCCTAAAGCTATATTGTATCACTATGGAGAGACACACAGGTGGGTATGAGCTTCACGCTTGGTTCAGATGTTGGAAATGACTTTTGCTGCTGTTACTCACCATCATACTCTGGAAAGTAATCAACCAGATGGGAGTACATGATCTTCTCCTCCAACAGGTCCTTCTTGTTGAGGAAGAGAATGACTGAGGAGTTTTGGAACCAGGGGTATGTGATTATTGTCCTAAACAGAGCTTTACTCTCCTCCATCCGGTTCTACAGAGTGTCAGTGTGTGGAGAGAGGGGAGAGGTAAAGTGAGGGGGGAAGACGTACAGAGAGACAGAGAAAGTGAGAGAGAGAGAGAGAGAGAGAGAGTTAATCACTTAATTAAACCACCGTCTTTCATACTCATTAAGTACAGATTTTAATAAACATTTACTGCACCAGAGGGAAAGCAGTAAAGAGAGGAGGGCGTCCACGTCGCCTTCAAGAGTTTAATATCTCCACTTGCACTTAATTTCAGTGTTTAATTGAACAAAACAACCACTCTGAAAGCGAGCCTTAGCTAGCACAACGCCAGCACTGCAGTGCATTAAGAGTGCTAAACAGAATATCTCCTGTATATTATAAAAACTGATCTAATGGCGCCAGGACGCAGAGGACATGCAGCTGGTCAGTCCTCTCTTTCTGCAGTTTGTAGTAACAAAGGACGGAAAACACATGGGCACAACAACAAAACTACACACACATATGAACACACACCTGCTCATTAATACACTTTAACAAACTGACACACAAGCTATATCCTCTTAAGAAGGAGATGTGGCTGGAGGCGCTATTCAAAACAGCTGGCTGATCATTTACAAATGCTTTCCAAAGGGAAAAAAAAGGTGGAGCACAGCCAGGCAGGAGGGGAATCTGATTTCCATTGTTTTAAATAAGGAATAGCTTTCATCTTCAGATCCAAGTCCTCTTCCCCATCACATTAAAAATAACAAAGCCTTTTGATAGGTGAAACTGTTTTTGAAACTGTGAAACTAACACACAGACAATATAGTCACTTAATCTGGTTATTAAATGTACTTGCTGTTGTTTGTCACAAGTAAGACTAATCTAACTTTGTGTGCACGTGTATTGATCATTCACCTCGTTGTCTGATTCCACCAAAACTTGGTCGTACTCGCTGAGCGCTACCAGGAACATAATGGATGTGACGTTCTCAAAGCAGTGGATCCACTTCCTCCTCTCCGACCTCTGACCTCCAACATCCACCATCCTGTCAGGGTGCCAGAAACAAAAGTCACTACAGGCCCTGAAAATGTTTGTAAATGTGTTTAAATCTGTTCTTGACCTAGGGATCTATATATTTTAAGGGGCATTGCTTAAAGCAGTAACAAGGAACTTTAATTTTTTTGTTGATTCTGGCGACCCCTGTGGACAAAATCAGACCCAGTGGCAGGAATTAAGAATCTTCTTACTGATGGTGTTGTGTGCTTATGTAGGCCATATAGAGGCATTAGTATTAAATTGAGACTGTTTTATAACCAGTTCAAAACTTGTAGCAGGTTTAATTAAAAAAAAGGACCAAAGGTGAATCAAGTGTGTTGACTCTGTTGATCCTTTGGTGTGAATTCAAAGTGATTTTAATATTTAGTTGAGTACAAACAGAGTCTTAACATTGTGACTAAGACTATTACTTCCTCCATAATTACATGTGGTACAATTCCTCCACTGAAGCTGCATGAGTTAAGTGAGTAAGTGTACCATTATATCATTATAAAAGGATAATAATAATCCTGTGCAAATCCTTGGCCTGAGTAAATGCCACAAAGTGAAAAATACTTGATTACACGTTAAGCATTGCATTCATAATGTTACTGTTGGATACTTTAAACCTTAACAGAGGATCATATGCTATTTATATTTTATGAGCTTATTGTACTTGTCGCATATAAAATATTAATCCACATCATAAACAATTTACCATAAACCATCAGATAAATATAGTTGGGTAAAAAGGACAAAGTTTTGCTTTTACAGGTGCTTTCCATCTATGACATACATACACTTTTTGTTGAGTGAAAGTATAATTCTTTAGTATATTCTCCTTTAGGCTGAGTCAGTTGTAGTTGTTTTCTTACAACATTTCTTTGTACATTTTATTTTACTAACATACACAGCTATATAGACAGCAGTAAAGAAGTAATAAATTATGAGTGTTTACAACAATGCTACTTAAATTCATCATCAATTTAATTACCTGAATATGACACTCTGCAGGTCAAACGGGTATTCAATGATGCCCGTGGTGGGGACTCGAACCCTCAACACATCCTGCTGGGTGGGAAGGTAGGCTGGCTCTGCAATCCGGTCCAACGCGTTCAGGTAACTACAGACACACAGAGAGAAAATGAACCAGGATGTGTATTTATCATCACGGAAACCATACAAAATATAACTCTAGTTCAGAAAGCTTCTAGAAAGTCTTGTATTTCACCGTCTACATATTTAGAAAAGTATTTCCTTTTACTCACTATTTAGTGGAGTCTGAGAGTTGATATTCCCTCCTTCGATCATAGCACTCCTGGATCCCCGGGTCATTCCATAAGCTCTTGATTGCATCTACATAAGGATTCTCCAACATGCCGACCTTTTCTACATCCACCTCTCTCACAATGTTGGCGTTGCCCTGGAGGGAAGAAACAAAGGGAAAAAACTAAGACATACATCTTTATTTAACAACGCCAAACAAAAAGTAGTACTTCATTCATTAAAACTTCATCAAGCTAATCTAAAAACACAGTTACTATGAAAGCCAATCAATATACAGGTTATGCAGTCCTAATTATCACTGGCTTATTTTCTCACTCGCATATTCTACATCCAGAAATTTCTTTGCACCTCGAGGCTCAGCATGGACCTAATATCTGAAGCTCAAATCCCACTGGGCCTATTAAGGGGAAAGTTTTGCCGTCCCAGATTCCCATTAAAACTCTCCTGCGTCCCATGACAAAAGATCAACATGTGCCTGAATGTTGAAACAGTTTAATTATCATTTAACAGACAGCTATTATGATAACAACGTATTAGCATGAATTTTAGAGTTAATCTTTCAGTGATTAGAATTATCTTATAACCCATATCCACGTCTTTTACTTACTTACTTTACACAGGATACCTCGAAGTGTATAGTCATACAGTATGACTGAGTTAAAACAAATACATTTAAGTTGTACTTATCTAACATGCTGTAATGGATGTGGAGCTGGTAGACTGTAGTAAACAAATAACCATAGCAGCTCAACATGATGTAAATAATTTTAATAATTTAAATGGGTTTGAGACTTGGCCTTGATGTGGTGGTAGAGCCCTTGGGATAGGATTTCACATAAAAAGTCAACTTATTTACACCTTCTGAAACAATCCGCAGTGAGGAGGAAGGAGTTTCATTATCGAATGCATCTCCTTATCTCATTTTAGCAACATGTTTCTTCCAGTATACAGTAGATACACGCTGTTTTCATGGTCGAGCTTGTTTAGCCTACAAGCCTACAATCATGACCTTTACTATAAGTGCCCAGACAGCCAGTGCAAACACGATCAACAGGTTTCATTTTCACTTCCTTTGTGATGTCAGTGGACTTCTTTGTCCAAAGTATAAAAGTTCCTGTTTTAGCATTATGTGTATGAGAGCACAGGGATGTTGGGTAAGACATGTCGAGTAGGCATACAGTAGTTTTTGTTGTAGCCTTTCATTGTGCACATAACCACATAACTAGTATTCCAGTATTTGTCTACTGAGTACATTAAGGTTTTAACCCCCACAACAGCTAGTACAGATAGTACAGATATTGGAATTACTGTATAGTCAAATGTAGAATAGGAGAAAACTTTTAATTATGCTATCATTTGTATTTTTCTTTTTAATAAAAACAGATTATGGTGGCATTATTTTGACTCAGCATGTCTGAGGGATGCACTTGTTTTTTTTATTGTGTTCAACAAAACAATAGTGAAATTGCTGGCCTGAAACAGCACATTCAGTTTCATTCTTCATGAGGAATGAGGGAAGCGAAAGCACACACGGAGAATGATGATCCACCACACAGCAGCACAGATTCAAAAAGCACCTGTGCTCTAGTTAAATCCAAGCTATAGTGCCATTTTAAATCTCACAGTTTATACAAAGCATTATCTAATGCACACCTGGTAGACAGGTGTTCGAGATTTGGGCTCCCTATTTGATTGGTTGTTGCAGTCTGTGTCTTCAGCATAAACATGTGTCGTTATACATTAAGGTTTTCAAGCCTGACGAAGGTCTGTGACCTAAATGTTGTAAATAATTAACTCAGTGTGCCAGTGTGTGAGAATTCTACCCTTCACAAAATCTCAAAGTTTAAAAGATAAAACTGTTTGACTAAAAGCTGTTTGTAAACCTCCAACATGAAGTCAGATATACAGCAACAGAAATGCATCCAACATGTGGCAACCTAACTAAGGCCAACAGCCAATAAGGTCGTCTCTGATAATTCAGAAATACATAACCAAGTACTTATACTTTTGATTAAAAAAACTTCTTCTGATGTAAAGCTGAAGCAGTGTGGTCCGCCTGAAAAAGGTCTGTGATGGTGAAGACTACTTCGCTCCACTTCCTTTCATTTGTTACTCTCACAGGGAAAAAAATGTGAATAAGAGGTCAATGTAACAGCTCCCAAAATGATGACTACAAGGGTAACTCATACAAATGAAAAAGGAGGGATAAAAGGACCTGTTGAAGTGATAGTTATGGAAAGTGGGGTCAAATTTGGTATCTCTTGTGTGCTTGCATGTGTGTATTTGTGTGTATATACGCACTGAAACACACAAGCAAACACAAACACACACAGGGTGTGATGGAAGGATGGAGTGCTAAGTCCTAAGGACACAGGAAGTGTCAAAAAGGACAGGAAACGATTATGGATGGCTGTTCCAAATAAGATAGACAGCAGTCTAAAAATATACAAGGATGCTGTGGCCACTTTGTAGTGTCTCTTTCTCTCTTTTTCTCAAACTATTAGTCACCCTTCACAACAGCCGTTATTTCAGTTAAGGAATTTGAAATGGCTTGAGTGAAAGGATGTCGTTTACCTTGTTGTGCTCATATTTGTAGGGGATCTTGAGCGTCTCCATTGCTCGGATCATTGCCTGCATGGCTGTGAAGATGTTCTGATAGACCAGTTTGGTGAAACCCCTTTTGTCCTCGTCTGAGTAACCGGTGCCGTGGATAATCCTCATTTGTTTGATGAATGTGCTCTTCCCACTTTCCCCAGTGCCTGAGAAAGTAGACAGGACAAATGAATAGAGTTTATTTATTTTGTAGGATTTCAATTAACCAGACAACACATTTAATCTCCTGTGTTGGCATTCACACTCCTTAAATGGACATTTAGCCTTTCCTGGACTTCTATGGGTGAAAAATGCAACAACATAACAAAAGTCGTACTTTCACAATAATAACAATTAATTAGCTCATTAGAGTTGAGCAACTAAAGGACAGCCATAACATTCTTCAAACGTGCTTGAATTCTTGCAGATTAGAGTCCAATTAGAGACCTAGTTCCACTGTGGGTGGGGAATTCTGACACTTAACATCAGATTCTAATATGTTATGTAGGTATGAAATGAATTAAATCCTGCTACAACTATAAGTTAACAATAGTTTTTCATTTAAAGGCACAATATGGAATTTAAGTGTAGACAAAGGGTTCATTAAAAACACTTAAAAAACACACAACCCCATTAATAGTCTGATAAACACTCATATTTTCACTTTTCATTCATCCCAACTGTGTAGATGAATAAATTAATATCCAGCAAAACCTTTTACATGTGGCATCTTGGCAAACACAAATTAATTAATGTTTGAATTAAAAATAATTCCTATTAGGAATTCTGTCATACAATGCTTGTGCACTGTCAGATATTATTAAACATGCAAGTTAAACTATGAAATTGAATATATCAGTAGATTCATTGTGAAAGGCAGAAGCAAGTTTCCCTTACACTCCAACACTCAAGATGGTCATTAATTAGGCTTCAACAGCAAAATATGTTTTAAAATCAATAAGCAAACATAAAATGTGCTTCCTCCTCGCTATAATAAAATGTTTAACTCACCAGGTGACAAATATCATGCAAAGTCTGAATGAAGCCGTAAGGAACATGAACATAAAAGGAGAAACATGACAGTTCAACATGGAGGAATCTATAGAAGAGGACACCCTCCCTCTGTAGATATTAAGGTAACAAAAACATAACAATTCTTATTTTCAAGTGATTATACACTAATGAAAACATACCTATGAATATTAGATCCCATTTCTGCCAATAGATCCTCCTAAATGTTACACACTGGACCTTTAAGAGTGAGCAAAGCGAACGCTGAAAATGTAGATTTAACTATGAATGATAATATTTAGGATTTTTGCTGAGGCAAAGCTGAATCATAGCTTTTTGTAACACAACGTCCTATCTCGGAAGAAACGTGTGCACATTTATACACACAGTGTTACAAGCACACAGACATACAGTATGTACTCGTGCACTGGGTCATTTCCGCATATAATATTATGCGCGGGCTACTTTCCTCTCAGCTTGTTTGCTTGGTCTGGGGACAGACCAAGAACAACATCTCTCTCCTCTTAGTGGTGACAGGGACTATTTGGGTGTGAAGAGCTGGGGGTTTCTCTGTGGTTCATTGAGAATCTTGGCAGACCAACACAACAGTCTAACTTTACCACACCGCTAACTCTTGAATAACTTTGGCAGGAAGGAGTATGTGTGTGTTTTGCATGTCAGTGGCCAAGAGACGTGTGCTGCATTCCAGTGTAACCTACAGACTCTGTTATATGTGTTACACTCCTTTGTGCGGTATAATATAAACTCTATTTTAGCCAAATTTGCCTCACTACTGTGGGCCCACAACACAGACTAAGCACTTTCAAAAACCAAGCTACAGACTAAACCTCGACAGAAACAGCTTTTCCATTGTAGGGTTGCCGATTTAGAAGCCTAAAATGAGCGGGGGAAGGTAATAATGGCAAAACTGGAGTTAGCACAATTACCCTTGAAGTGCTCTTTAGCCAAGCAAATCCTACTTACAAAGTTCATAGAAGCTCATGCTATTTGACTTTGAATTGGACTTCCAATTTCTTGTTAGCGCTACATGCTACACAAACACTGTCGCGTTCCCCTTTGGCACACTTTGAAATATTTACCTTGTAGGAAAGTACCAAAGGTGGGTTGGACTTGTCACCACCTGCTTTTCCACCCACACCCATCTATAATTAACTATTACATTAACCTCAACGACAAGGAGTAGTTGCTGCAGACCACAAATAGTGTTGCACAAGAGTTAATGCCTCACAGCATCCACCCTAAAAATAGACACATTCTATTTTTTAAACAGGGAAAGTGGAACAGTGAGTAATCTGAAAAACTTAAATTAACTATGCCAGTGGGTTTTAGATTTGAACAGGCACAAAGGATCTGAGTTGCTCTTGTGTGGCACATTTCTGATCTCCTCACGGCTGTTCAAGCACAGAAAAAAAACCTGACGTCCTCACACAAGGAGAGGAATGTGAGTGGTTTGTAAATTCATTCATTGATAGCAACCTTTATAATTACAGTTGCCTTTATTTTCCCAAGTCTGACCTGAAATATTGGAGATGCTGCAATTTAGTTTTATGTTACAATATTGGAATGCAATGAATTTCAAGACGGCCGAATTTTTTTTACAGATTGAATGTGTGAAGTAAACGTTTCCTCTGGGGATCCACCCATTCAAACTTAATTTATAGGCTACTTCTAAGTCCTTCAAGACTACAGTATTTTATACAGGTTACCTTAGGTTATAGAAAAATGAGATGGTTAAAATGCATTGTATAACAAACATCTGTACAAATAATAAGAACAATAATTTAAAAGACAATAATTGCTCTAAAATCACACATCTGGGTAGCAATTAATTTTTTTCTATTATACAGACGAGACACACTGGAAAGATAGAGAGACGGCGAGTATGAGTAGGTAGGTGAGTGTGTGCTGGCCATTAGAGGCTACTGAGTGACCTTTCAAACCAATACAGTGACCCAGGATTAGACTGGTGTTTGAGGTTGGTGTGAATGGCTCAACATTATATCTGAGGTGAGTCTGTCTGATCCAGCACCATGTCCAGAAGCCAAGCCCCAGGACTTATCGCGAACACAGTCGGACCCGGGGGGAGGAGGGAAGCTCTACGTGGTGCATTCATTTAAAACACTCTGGACAAACTCGAAGTGCGAGGTGCCAAATATTCGCAAACTTGAACTGGTAAAACAAACGATAAGCACATTTTTAAGGTTAAAAGGATCGTGTGAATTTGGTAGCTTGCTCCATTAAAAAGGCATCAGTCTCAGTCATGCACAAAGACGCCTGCAGCTGACTTTTTAAACCGGAGGGGATAGAGGATGCAAAAATGCCGATACAATGCTTGAACATCATCATAAAAAATGCATGAGTTAAGAAGAGGAAAATAATTCACCCCCAACAGCTTAGCAGCACCTCATGGAGAGAGTTAAAACACAGAGCCAAGGGCGGAGATATTATAGTACCACATTCACTTTTACAGACGCTTCAGTGCAATGTTGTTCTCTAACTACAGTCTCTGGTGTCAGATCTGGAAAACACAAAAATGATTACTTCAGATTTACCCTTCTTCAAAATGAATTATTGGACTGTGTTTAATAGCCCTGCTTCTTACTTGTGCTTAACAAGGGTCGGACACTGCTGGGTCCTGAATTAAAAAGGAGAACTACGAAATTGAAAGTCCGAGGGGCCGGTGTGGTTCTTTTACTTTCGCAAGGAAACACTCTTGTGGGTGTCAAATCGATTCAGTGTCTCTAGGCAAAACACAAGACAGAGCCTTAAATTCAATAAAAAAGAAATACTGTGCTGTACCAACGTAGCTTACCAGACAGCATTATAAAAAACACATTGAAAAATCTCATATCACAATAGGTTGTTTTGTGATATTGTATCGATTCTCAAAAACACTGTCATCGATTTTGGGTTTAAACCTCCAAACACTAGTGTTCCTTTTACTAGTTTTCCTAAAATTTGAAACGGTGAATATCTATGTACATGTTAGTTATTTTAGTTTAGGACAACTAGATGTCAATAATACACAATCATAAGTGGGGGAAAGATGTCGTTTATCATCTCAATGCCACACAAGACCTGAATTATACTGAGACATTGATGATACTATGTTAAGTATTTAACTGCATTAGAGCACTGTAAAATTATAAAAATGGTTTAAGTTTCCCTCCCTAATTCTGCACTGTTAACTTGGCTGCGTTCATACAAAAATCATATGACATGTTTAGTGCTTCCTCTCACAATTACAACCATGTGGTTGTTAAAAGCTTGTTAAAGTTTGCGGTGGACTTTGTTCAGTTGTAGCCTTGACAAAATTCCCACAGCTTTCATTTGTGCGATAAAAGCAGCTGACAGGGATTGGAAAGATTTTGACGATTGATATGCAAAATGTGAGTGCAAAAGTGCAGATTAAACATGCTGCAATGATTTTAAAAGTTGTTCAGCCACAGTTGCAGATATATCAATTCAATGATCTAAGTTGTTCATAACTGTACCTTTACCTTTAAAGTCTGTCAGCCCACTTGTCTATGTGTGTATGTGTATATGTATATGTGTGTAAAGGGGGACAGGCACCATAAACTAGGTCCAATGGTCTCTTGAGGATTAGAGCTAGGCTGTGCCACTTTTGTAACTGAGCAATTTTAAATCAATTTAGCAGATGGAGACAAGCCTGATAATTATTCATGTTTAACCCTTTTGGCAGACAACAGATGTTTGAGACCTCAAAGCTAAGTAAATAGAGGTCAGATATTCAATGCACGTAGAAATGCAACAAGAAAGTACAATGCAGCAAGTATGTGCATATATCTCAATTTCACTGTATCCTACAAGGATATAAAATGTCAGAACATTGTAACAAATGTATTTACCAGAGCCTAGGGTGATATATACAAATACAAAAAAATCTGACCTGACATTTGAGCACCCAGGATTAACAAATGTTTGTTGTTTTTACTTGAAAAAGGACTGAAAAGATTAAACAATTATTAATAGTGCAAATTAGCTACTAAAATCTAAAATACACTACCATCCTCAGCTTACACTGTTCATGTGTTTGAAGTTCCGGTTCAGTGTGTTGTGTATGTACAGTAAACATGCTCCAATGAGGCATGTTTCTGGTTACAAGTATTGTATTCATGATCCACACAAACAGGGCCATAATACAAAAGGATCATGGTAATTTGGTTAGTTGGTTAGTTGATCCTAGGCTTTAGTTAATGTTCTGCAGTTGACTTTTGAGTCTTTAGATGTCAGAACATCCTTAAACACTGACAAGAGTTTTAAAAAATGTCTGTGCTACCAGCTGCATTAATATGCTTTGAGAGAAATAGTATGGAGTTTTGAATGTTGTCTTGCCCATCCTGTTGCACTGAACTCACCTAAACAAGTTTGAATGACTTCTGTAACAGCAATAAAATGAACTCAACTCAATTAAGATGACTAAATATTTACTGAATGAATGAATGACTAGACTAGACAAGTTTTTTTGGGGAAAAAATGTGTTCTCCTGCAAGATCTATTTCAGTATATATCTTAATTTCTTTCCAGACTCCAGTCACTATGTCACCAGTCCCAAGCTAAGTTGCTGTTTTCCCCTCTGCTCCATTCATCTTGAACTTCCCATGACAGCACAGATTTGGAATCACAGCTAATGTAATGGAGTCATGGTTTCTACCCGCTTTCCCCTGTCGCTTTACATTTCTCCCCACCTAATGTCATGCTTAAAGAGGAGAAGTTCACTTTCCTAAAGTCATTTTTATCACCCTCAAACAAGGTCTTACTGGTCCACTAAATATTGTTTTAAGCTTAATGCCTCCATGCCATCTGCAGTCACAGTGCTAATATTAGCATAAAAAAGGTTGAAAGTGTAGGTTTTCATTCAGAATTGATTGGTTTGAATCTCCTGGACCTTTTAGAAAGTTTGGCAAGTGAAGGAGAAGTGCTCCTCTTTATCTCAACAACCAGTCAAGTGCCCTCTAAGCTTTGTCCACTGCTCCTCCAGTGGAGCAGCGCAGTCATTGAGCCTTGATTGGAAAACAAAGAGTTCACTACGCAGTCTTCACCTACTCGATTTATGCTGGGTTGTCAATGGGAGGGTTTACTCAGATTAATTCTCTGTCCCTACAGCAGTCAGAAGTCAAAGGTCGTATTCAGCTTTTGATATTATTATAATGCACCACTTTAATCTCACAAAAATGTAACTCTGTTAGAGGGCGTCCCCGTTTTTGCTTATGTGTGCTGTGACAAACTATGATCCGACGACTCTTGAGGTAAACTTCAGTGGTTAGCATTTTATGATTATTATGATCTTATCTCCAACCCTGGCCATGTGTCCATCATTTTATGTCACGCCTGATTTTGAAAGACAAAATAAACTCACATTTGTTTTGATTCAGAAATAAATCTTGCTAACCTAAATCTTGGATAATGTATTAGGTAATACATATATAGAGATAGAGCAGTGCTTTCTATTGTTTTACTGCTCCAAAATGAATGAGATGCGTAAACATTTTTCACAGCCAAAATTTTGACTTGTTGTAGCAGAAGCACAGATGGAAGTAATAACCTTAATGATGGTTTGGATTTTGCCATGCAATACAGCGATTAACATATTTCCTTGGTTATTAGTTACACCTGTGTTTGACATGTCAAGATGTCCGCTGTGAAAAAGGTCTGTTCTACTTATTTCACTCAACATTTCCTGTAACGGCCTGCTGTAGCTGTGGAATCACTGAGTTATGTTATTTCACTAACTTTTTTTACTGTTAAGCATGGCACGAGTTACAAAATATCTGAAGTTGTTGATGATGCTACATTTCACTCAAAGGTGAACATATCTGTGTTTCCTTTCCTCGTACTCAATAAGAGGTATGAGCTGTTTAAAGGGTTAGGACAGTGATTCATTTTTCAACTCATCTGTTTATGCTCATGTATTGCTGGAGGAGATCAATTTCAGTTGATTCTTGCCGAGATGCATTGCCTCATTGTTCTTCTGCTTTGGCGGACATCGATTTTTACTGGACTTTTCCTTAGTCACCCCATCTTAGAGAAGCCTTTAGTATCTCTGACTCATTAGCTGGCTTTAAACTATTTGAGTGCCAGACAGCTATGCTAAGTGTTACACTGTCAACCCTAACCCCTCCTCCTCCTCCTCCTCCTTCCGCTGCATCAACTCATCCGCTTGCTAGTTATGTATTCTTGGTCATCTGCCCAGGGTAAATGAGTTTTAATTTTGGTACATCTAACTTATTAGTTTACAGTGTCAGTTCGGGAGGCAGACACCATCACCACATTCAAGAGTAGGCTTAAGACATTCCTCTTTGATAAAGCTTATAGTTAGGGCTGGATCAGGTGAGTCCTGAACCATCCCTTAGTTATGCTGCTATAGGCCTAGACTATCGGGGGATTTCCCATGGTGCACTGAGCTCCTCTCTTCCTCTCTCTCTTTCTGCACTCATTCATGTCCCATTAATGCATGTTACTAACTTCACTTCTTCCCCGGAGTTCTTGTGCTTTCTCGTCTCGCAGGTTCTCCTGGTGGAGCCTCCTGCCATGGTCCTGCTAGAGCCATTGCCAATACTGTTGTTGCTGTGCACCTGTCTGTCTGTCTGTCTCTCTCTCTGTCTCTCTCACCCCAAATGGTTGAGACAGACGACCACCCACCTAGAGCCGAAGGATCTGTCCTAGGTTTCTGCCTTTTAACAGGCAGTTTTTCCTTGCCCTTGTCGCCAAGTGCTTGCTCATGGTGGTACTGTTGGGTCTCTGTAAATAATGTTATAAAGAGTTCGGTTTAGACCTGCTCTATTTGAAAAGTGTCCTGAGATAACTTCTGTTATGAATTGGCGCTATACAAATAAAATTTAATTGAATTTAATTGAATTAATGCATATTAGATTCACAAGGACAATGGATTACATGCTTGAAATGTTTTTTTAAACTGTCTGATTTGTACAAAGTCCCTGTGGACATAAAGCAATTAGTGGGTTTGAAAGACTTAAAGTAAAGTTTAAGATCCAAGATGATTTGTGAAATAAGAAGTGATTTTTCTAACCTTGACAGGAGAGTTTTTAGTGAGTGTGACAACCAACAATACACTGATAGTATATGGGTTAATGGTCAGTGAGGTCCGTTATCCTGCTTTGGCCTCGACCATTATTCCTATCATATTTGCTATCTTTACTCCAGTCATACTCTACATGCCACCTCACAGCAGACAACTATCTACTCTGTCAAAAGACTACACTCCTGATTGCCGGACAGAGTAATATCTACTCTCTGGATCGTGCCGCCTTCATTACATAACATTTAACACAATGGTATTTGTGTTTGTTACAGAGAAATCACACATATGGTGATTACATATATTACAGGAAACTTTTACTCTGCCACTTAATAGATTGTATCTTCCCTACAACTCAGTACTCAAAGACATTAATTGTAAGCATCCTGTCATTAGAGGCACGCTACTTAACCACTTATATAATAAAATATAATAGCCCATAATGATAGGACCTACTGATAAGCAGCTACTACACAAAAGTCATAATCATAAATTCTTTGGTTTGTATCACATGACAATACTGACTAATTATTGAATAAAAACCAAAATATACATATAATACATCGTATTACGTCCTCAAACTTCATCAATTTTTGGTTTGGGTCATTGGCTTGTTTATGTGTTTGCATAATAGGCGAATTGTTGGGTATTAAAAGAGATTAGAGGGCAACAACAACACAATTATTTGTCTGAAGTTAACAAGGGAGGTGGCAGTCAGCGCCTTCAAATCCTGTTAGGGGGAATTCATTTCATCATTTTGTACTAACGGGAGGGCAAAGGGGGAAACCATTCTCCTCCAACATCTCTTAAAACATCCCTCAAGAGGCAAAAAAAACCCTAAATGTGTTCTTCAGAAAGTGGATGATGTGATCTTTAGCCCCAGCCCACTGCACCAGCTTCTCTGTTGGATTCTCTAAGGAGCTGAGAGAGGAGGGCAGTGGATCAGGAAGAGAGGTTTCTGGCACCACTCCTCCATAACCACGGCCATCACAACTAATGGGCTCTTCGGTGAAAATCGAATTAAAAACGAGATGGTGAGTAAATGACTTGTTTTCCTCAAATTTCTCCAGTGTGACTAATACTTCTCGACATGATTGCCCCCCCTTATCAGCATCGCATTTCACAACCCCACACTGTAAAAATGCACAGGTACCCAATGATATTTACAACGTTTTTGAGATTTTATGGCACTGTTATATATGATTTGGTGTTAAGAACCATGACCTACGGCTGCATGGGGTTTTCAATTCATTTGAAGATGATTAAAAGTAATTTAATGTACACAAAGCTGGGTCCATGAGCATGCCATCACACAGGCTTTATATATATATATATATATATATATATATATATATATATGTGATTGCAGTGCATGCTCCCAGCCTGCTCCACAGACTGACACCTGTGATATAATCATTGCCAGGGTTAGGTGTTAAGCTGCAATACTGCCTTGATTACTTCCAATAAAACGCTAGACTTTGGCCCAGCCGATATTTGACACACTCATGAGCACACCACCTGGATGGGCCCTCTAGGCCCTGACCACACAGGTTGCAGTCAGGGCCAGAGAATGCATGTCAGGAAAAGAGTTAACCACCACTACTTTGTAGTGACTGGTGAGCATTTGTTTCCTCGACACTAAGCCGGTCGCAGTTATTCAAATCATGTGGTTGGTTTTTTTTCCCCTTTTTACACCGGGAGCCTTATAGGCCTGGCTGGGCAGCATCTTCTCCCTCTGCTGACCTGTCAATCTGTGCACTCGACTTCACCTATCTACCTTCCCCACCCCTGCCCTCCCCGACAAAGGTATTTCTTGTGAGAGGAATTCGGGCTTTGCGCCTCTCTCTCCCCCCCACCTCCCCCAGACACACACACACACACACACACACACACACACACACACACACACACACACACACACACACACACACACCCTCCTCTCCACTCCTTTCCCTCCTCCGTGTTTCTCCCTGTCGGGCTTACCGAGAAGCAACAGTTTCAGTTCCCGGCGTGCGTCCCTCTTATCCCGGCGGAGCTGCCTCTCGATCTCGTCGTTGATCCGCCTGGCTTCTTTCGCCTCTTCACTGAGGCAACACGCCATTATGGATTCCAGGGTCATTCTCTCTCCTTGTGGTTTTTGTTTTTGTTGTTTGTTTTGTTTTTTTTGTTTTTAAAAAACACGCACTTTTTCCGCTTTTTTCCCCCCTCCTCCTTTACTGATTCATTCAGATTTCAGATTCGTCGGAGTAGGAGGGGTGGGAAAAAACAAACAAACAAACAAACAAAACAACAACAACAACAACAACAACAAGAGGCCTGTGAATGCAAAATAACGTCCTCATACGGGCCTGGTTGTGGTGAAATAAGGCGTGGACGCCCTTATAATGAGTGTGAACAGCGCACAGATTGTGCCGGAGAGGGGAAAAATAAGATATTTGAGAAATGATTCCCCCCCCACCCACCCCCGTCCCCCCTTGTTTCAGTTCGCTTTCTGGCCCTCCCGACAGCTTCAAAACAGTGTCCAAAAGTGCTCTGTGTTGAATATCTGTGCAAATCTTAATTGGTGTAATCTGCTTTTCCTTCTCAATATGATCAACAGATCCTTTTAAGACACATCCTCCGTACTGCCTCTGTGTGATCTCGTTAAGCGTTGTGCCATCCGTGCCCGGCCACCTCTCTCTCTCTCTCTCTCTCTCCAAAAAGTCTTCAATGTTGCAATTTTTTTTTCTTCCAATCAACAAAAATCCCTCCTGTTCAAGTTATCATCCGTGGGTTATGGCACCGGGGAAACCACATGAATAAAGCTGTCGGTTTATTTTCCAAGGGCTCGACTCCCGGGCGTGGTAAGGCTGAATATGGCGGACTTTCACTCCAATCCGCTAGGCTGGGATACAGTACAGTTATCTATCTCTGTCTGCTCAAAAAAAAACACACACACACACACAAAAAACAAACAAACAAGAAAGCCACACATAACATGGGATTTCAGCCGGAGCTCCCGATGTCCGCAAATATATCCCAGTTTGCGTTAAAATGCGGTTCAAACGTCCACGACTCCGCAGCGAGGGTGAGAAGAAAGCGATACAAACGCTGTGTTGTTGCTCGGTTTCCCCCGGACCAATCTTCTCCTTTTCCTCAATTCTCTTCGCGTATTTTTATTACAGAGGCCATCCACTCCTCCGCTGGAAGGGTGACGTCGGCCTCCCATCGACATGGGGGGAGTGTCACGTCAAACAAACGCCACACAAGTATTTATACCCCCCCCCAACCTGTGGAATAGAAAATGTGCATGAATGGAGCAGCTGAACTCATATCTCCATGGACGTGTGTAATAGAAAGAATTACTACTTAAGTTCTGGGTTTTGTGTGGGTTTCTGTGCGGCAGTCACAGCCACACTAGCACTATATGATGTATTTGAATGAAGAACTATTTATGACAGGATGTGATTTTCTGCAAATGCAAAATGATATTTTTTTCTCAGTTCTTCAGAATGTCCTTTTGCTTGTTTTCCCCCCACAAATTATCTTGGCTTTTAAACTCCACTAATTGCTTTATATCCACAGGGACTGTGTACATTGAAGCCTGCACAAAACCACAAATGAGCAAGTAAAAAAAAAAATGGATATGCAGTCCAGTAGATATTCTGTTTGAGAATATATTCTGTTTTTGTTGAGCTTAATTGTGGTGTTATCGTTTAGGATTGCTTGATATAATGAGCACATCCCATACCCAAAATATAGAACTGAAAATGCCCCCTCCCCCCTACAAATGTCTGGCCACCCCAGCTTCATTTGGGGGCTTTTTTAAGCAAATATTGATCACATATTATTGTTTGTGATTGCAGCAAATATTTCTGCCACCCCCATGAATATATATATAGTCTGTATTTAACAAACTGGAGAGTTACATTGCAGTTGTTAGTCATATTATTCTAACAATATAGGCCCACACACTTAGTGATTGATTAAATGATAAGTGCATGGATGGATGGATGGATGACTGTTAAGAGGCCATATCATGTATCCACACTTCTTCCACTACAATCATCCCATGAACTGCTCTTGCCTGTTATTAGTGAATTTAGCCTTGTACGACTGCCCTTACCACAACCGGACAGCTAGCTATTATTATGCACTCACTATCGGAAGGACAGTAAATCATATAATGAGTCAACACATTAATGTGTGGGTAGTTTTGCTTTGAGTTTGGGGCTCCTAAGTGGCTCCTGTGCCTACAGCGGGCCTACCCAATGAGAACAGTAATGAGCATGGGTCCCAAAGAAGCACTGAATTTCTCTCTTGGATCCCAGTCGGATTAAGTTCCAGAGCCACGGCTGCAGAATAAGTGCTGACCTGTTTTATAGGCCAGTTTGTGGTTTAAAGGCTTTTTTGTGTTTAAGGCCTGCCTGAAAACTGCTTTGTTTTTGGTGGGTCACATGCTGTGTTCCACCTGTAATACTGACTCAAATACAAATCATTTCTCTGCACGGCTCTGCTTTGCGTCTAGCTACACTACATTGACGTCAACTTCAAATGGGAACATAAGTCAAATTAGCAAATGGGCATTTGCAGGGCAAAGTTCAGGACTTTTTAACTGCACCATAAAATATATACTACAGCATACTTGCAGCAGTGTGTGACTTCATGCTCTACATTAGTCCTTGTGGCTGTGTGAGTGAAGCGACTAGATCTTGCAACATCAAGTTCACAAACAGGGATTATAGTAAAGTGAGAGCATTTGTCTTCATGAGCTGCTTTTGTTTTTGCCTTACTTCACTCAAGACGAGTAGAAGAAGCACATTATACCAGGGAATCTTCATCATTTTATAACAATGGACCCTTCAGCAGACAAACCTTCGGCCATGTCCTCCACTGTATGTGCAAAGAAAAGCCATTCATGCTTTGTTTGCAATACCATTTTATAATTATTATCAACCTTACTTTGCCGTAAAATGCCTGACAAAACTAATTTGAAAGTTTAACTCATACTCACTTAAACCATTTGCTGCAAACAAAGTTAGAATTGAGGTCATCTCACATAGGTATTGAGCAGTGTTGATTGTAACCTAACTAAGTGGCCTATTTAGACCGTTTAAATGGGGACATCCCAGTGACTCAGTGCTTAATTGCATGTAATGCATTCGTTTAAATCCGGCTCTTATCTTTCCTGACTTTGTCTACCAAGCAGGCAAAAATCTGAGCAACAGTGAAGCACATGAAAACATGACACGTAAAGAACAATTGCTTCTAGTAGAACTAATGTAAGCTGTCCAGGGACCTTTCTGATTCGTCCCAGATTTCCACCATGGGGAGCCATTTCAACCTGTGCCTGTAATGAAGGTCAACCAACCAGCTCTCTAGAGGGACACCCAGCGACAGGTCAGTAACATTTTAACTTGTCATGTGTTGTTTAAAGTCGAGATTCCCCATTAAGCAAATGCATCATGGGGTTGGCTGACAACCATCATCCTAATTTGGTTTATACCAACTAGAAAACCATGCAAATTAGTAACGTTATAATATTTTATTGGTTGAGCTTCAAATGTATTATGCACATAGTGCATATTCTTTACTTTACTTGGGACTTTCTTGCATCCCAATACAAAATTAAACTGTGTGACGATAGAAGCAAGAACACTGAGACACTGATGATATCTGCACAGAAAGGTTTGAGCTTTTGGTTATTGGTTCTTCTCCAAACGATATTAAGGCTTTCATAGATTTATTAGATGGGTACATTTGCAATGATCAGAATAGCAAAGGTATACAATGGATGTCAGATCAGGCTAGGCATATGCAATATACTGTATATGCAGATAGTGCAGCCAGTGCATGATGTCCAGAAGGGTGTACACAAGGCTGGATAACCAATTGCGCAAAGCAGGCCCCAGGCCCTCAGGAGCCCCAAACACCCAAAGTGACTGTGTGACAGTTGTTAGTTGTTGCACAATATCAGCTGATGATAATAAGAGACCTTAAGGTAAGCACTGCTTTATTCTGCTACCTGGTCTTAAGGCCCTGTTTTGAAAAAGGTCCCAGCTGATTGTGCTCATGTGGTGCATATTTGTGAATGTATTCGTGTTTAATCCTTAATACTGGAGACATTGCACAGTGAATGAGAAGAAGTTAATAGGAGGGGAGCTCGGCAGCTCACTTTTGTCGCAGTGCCCCCCAGCAGGTTATTTCAGCAACGTATGTAAGCGTCAACTACCTCATCAGAAAGCTTTTTCACTACACTAATTTAATCTAAAAAATAGTATTCTATATATAATATATTAATAGTCATTCATAGTGGACACATGCCCGGGAAAAATGTGCACATTAATGGAAACGTACACGCCCAGAAATACAACAATAAATCGTAAAGAGTACATCAGACTTTTATTTTGTAAGAGAAGAAGCTTTTGGTTACTTCCTGTCCCCTGTCACATGACCTCGCCCTCGCCTAGATACGAGAAAGCGTCGCTTCATGGTCGCTACGGAGAGAGGGATGGGTCCGTGTAGTTAAAACACACTTCTGTGGACTTTCCCACGCAGTTAGGACAACTTACTACGATGGCAGTCCGCGGGAAACGCTTCTCGGTCGTTTCGTTAACGACTCTACAAAGTTTTACCGGTTGTATATCCACGTTTCGGTGCTACTAACGTTAGCGCATTGATCTATCTTGGCATGACAGATAAAGATTAGTTAGCATGCTAGCGAGCTAGCCACACTGCCCCAGCATCACACATCGACCACACCTGCCAGTGACAGGTAAGAAATCTTGCTTCACATATCTCCAGTACCACGAGTCGTGGGTCATTTTTCACCATTGGTAACTACGGTTAAAATACCTCGGTGTTGTTGCGTAATAAGTGGCAGCACAGTTCATAGCAGGTGTTTTCGAGCGACTAATTCCTTGTGACAGTAATGATGCGGCTCTAATAGGATTGAGCCCTCTCCTTCCTGTCGATTGTTTGAAGAGTACGCAGGGATAACGAGGGAGGAGCTTAGTTCTCTCTCTCTCTCTCTCTGTGTGTGTGTGTGTGTGTGTGTGTGTGTGTGTGTGTGTGAGAGAGAGAGAGAGAGAGAGACAAAGTAGTGTTTGCGTGGGAACTTGTGGGTTAATCTCACCTTGTGGACTGGTCCTACCCTTATGCAAGATATTTTGCAGTAAGAGACTGTATGCTTAAGTTAGGATGTGTGATATGTTGATGTAGGTAAGCCGTAAATAGTATTATACACACTGTAGTAGTCAATAATTAGAACAAGATCCTATACAATATTCTGATATACATTTTTAGTTTCTCAAGTCAAAGCATTAAAGTTTCAATCTGATATTTCAGCCAGTGACCTGAGTGTATTTAATTGCAGTGATACACTTTAGGACATTCTGTGTGTCTTCATGTGATTTTTGCTGTTATAGTAAGCTTTTGAACTGAACTGCACTCGAACCATAGCCTCTCATCATCACCGCTCAGTAAGATAGATAGACATTTATGGATGCAACCATGGTTTTTATCCTAGTTTGATAGCATTACTCTCTGTGTGTCAGTGTGGCTGCAGGTTCCTAGCAGACATGGGCAAACTACAGAGCAAGTTTCGCAAGAGGTCTGAACTCTACAGGTGAGACGTGCACTACTGAAAGAGTTTCTGTGTCCTTGTATGCAATCAATACTAATTACAACCAGGATTTCAGCATAAAGTCTGTTCACACTAGAGACAAATAAAAACAAAATACTGTAAAAGCTGTATGTATGCATACTAAATGTTCTTAGTTTTACTCACAGACTCAATGTTTGAAAAATGTATTCAAAACTTAAATAAATCTCTTGGAACATCTTGTGAAATAAACAGTTTACTAAATAAATATTTGGAAAAATATGTGGAGTTTACTCCAGAGGATTGTTTTAATTTCAGTAATTTATCTGAAGCATATTTAGCAGTGCAGCCTGTAAAGGAACATAATATGAGACTAATACAGACATAGATATAGGCTAAAATGAGTTATCCTCACCAATATTAATATTCATGAGTATAGTTATTAATATAAATGAAAGTAATGGCTGAATAATGTTTAAGTTGTGCATATTTATTTCACTATTGGTGTTTTTTGTGTTCAGGACAACTCAGGGAGAGAAGGCAGATAATACCTTTGACAGTCAGGTGGTGCAGTATGAACCTGCTCATCAAGGGTCCATCAACACTGTCACCAATCTCAGTCCAGATCTGTGTGTTTCCGGTGGGACTGACCAGGTAAATTCATCTTTGTGCTAGTAGCTGATTACTTCAAAACAACAGATTTTCTTCTGTTTTTCTTCTGGCTAAATGAGACAGTGTAATAGTTTTAAGATCATTTATTCGGGTGTCTAATGCAAGACAAAGACTGAAATTCCACAATTCACATTTTCATTTAGACTCTATACAAGGTGACATGGAAATCACTGAATGACATAATGAAATAATAATGTGCAATTTTGTGGAAAAACCTCAAACATGTGTGTGTCTGGCCCCGTAGGCTGTGGTGGTGTATGACTGGAAACAAGGCCGGATGTGTCAGTCCTTTCAGGGTCACAACCGAGAGGTTACCAAGGTAACGTCAATACTGTGTGTGCGTGCAAACTGATAAAGGTGTGACGCTGTTCAGAGACATTTCACATATACGTATCCTCCTGTCTCGTCTCCTCTTTATTCTGCCTCCATTCATCTGCCAGGTGGTGTGTTATCCAGGAAGTACATGGATCTTTAGTGCCTCACGGGACAAGACTGTTTTGATGTGGGACCTAAACCAGGGAGACGAACCTATTCAGGAATTTTGTGGTCATGAGTTGGTGGTCAATGGTCTAGCCATCAGCCCTGGTACACACACACACACACACACACACACACACACACACACACACACACACACACACACACACACACACAATGAGTTTCCTCACTCATGAGTAAATGAGTGATCATTCCAAATGTATTCTGTTAAATATCCGTTCAGATAGCATCTTATTTAGCTCAAAACATAGCCTACAGTAAAAAAACAACAAATAAATTCCTTCTATTCTAGTTGGTTTGGTAACTCTCTGAGGATAGTTCATGGATAATAAACAAAAAGCAGAACAACACACCCATCGCCAGATCATCCCTTCCTTCTGCAGAGGACAGAAACATCTGCAGACTTGGTTAAATATCTGTCTCCCTAATGGCCGCCAGTCATTGAAACACTTAATGTACAAAAGTTCTGTAAAAACCAAACTCTGGGTGTAGCTGTTCCAAACATACTTAAACAATGTTTGTAAGAATATTCACCCTCAAGCCTTCTGAGCATAGATCTAATTTGCGATGTGACAGAGACTTCTCAACAAGCTGGATAGTGTTGATGGTTAAGGGAATACCTCTGAACTGATCTCGTGTCTTGGTCAGTTAAGATGCTGCTACAGTAGATGAAGTAATCTATCAACCTGCCACCTGTCATGAATGTGAGTGGTGCTAAATATTTAATCTATTATCAACTTTGACTGTTTATTACCTCAAATGTTTTAATTCCCAAGAAAATTAGTGTAGTAGATCCTTTGGTGTTCTTTTTTGGCAACGGGACAATTCTTTTATGTTTATGTTTTTATACATTTCAGGTGAAAATTTTTAACTAGCCCTTGAGGTTAAGAGGCTTTTGCCTTTCAATGTTATTTAGTAAATTGCATTTTGTATGCATTTTTTCACATTATTGATCTGCACTGAACATATGGAACTGTTTTCATTGTGGTTTGTAGAGGGGAGAAAGCTGTGCACCGGTTCTCGTGACAACTGGATGTGCCTGTGGGATATTGAATCTGCAAAATGTGAACAGAGACACAACATTTCTAGAAACCTGGTGAGAATAATAGTATGTGCTTCCTTTGTGCACACAACCTTGTAAAAAGAATTGTTTCAAGGCTGGATCGCCTTAGGTGTGTACCTGTCCATGCAAGAAAAATAATCAAATCAATAAGCCATTCAATCTTTACTAGCCAAGTTCGTACCCTGCAGGCTTTAAACTTTTGCACTTTCCTCTCTTCTCTGTCCAGGTCACTCATGTGTGTTGGGTACCGGGCAGCTCCTCTGTAGTCCAGACCTCTGAGGATAAGACCATAAGGTACAGAAAGATTGGCTACTGCAACCATTACTGTAGCAAAGCAATCTACTTTGGTTGCAGCTGGTAATATGAAATATGCTGACTTGTTTCCACTTCATAGGGAAATATATGTATGTAAGTCTTTTTAATGCTAAAATCAAAAGCACATGCACTTGCCTTCATTTTCAAATTATATGTTTGTGGAACACATGGTGATGTTGACTGATAAGTATAGATTAAGAAAAATAAAGAGAGGCAGCAAACTGAAAAACATTCATTTATGCAATTGTTATTTACTGCTGAGTGATTTGAGTGCCGTTGTCCCAACAAGGTCAGCCAAAATTTTGCTGTACCTACAGTAGCCAATTAGAATACCGGAGGTGGTATTAAGTCTTGGGATTGTGCCCATGCTCTTTCATAAAATGGCACAGCAGTCCAGTTTCACTGGTGGTGGGAGAAAGAGAATGAACAAATGTGATTTTAGCTGATGAACTACTATTAACAATATCGTTGTGGTTGATGACGGCTACCTGTACATTAGCATCTGTTACTCTGGGATCTAACATCACCTCATGCAGCTAACTGTTTGTTTGGAATAAATAATTCTGAACATGTTTATCCCGCCTCTATGTCAGGTTGTATCTTTGATGTTAATATGCACATACACTACATGTCCTTGCTTGCAGATAATATGTATTTCTACATTCATGTTTTTGTGCATGTGTACAGGGTGTGGGACAGCCGTGCATGGCAGGTGACCAATACTTTTCCAGCCAAGCAATACATCCAGACCCACTGTGACGTTTCTCCAAATGGAAACTACTTGGTGTCCAGTAGCAACGGCTTCGGAGGCCAGGGCTGTGAAGCCACGGTGAGACCATTAGAGGTGTTTGTGTGGTTGTTGGCTGTATAGGTGTAGATGTACAGATGGTGGCTAGGCGGTCAGTAGATTACCTATTGTCAGGGTTAAATCCATTATCGATAAATCTGAACTGGAATAAATATGTTTTGTGCCTTTTTAGTGGTGTGAAATCGTGGACTGATAAAGTAGGAAGGCCAGGGGCTACTCAGTCAATACCAGGTCTTTTTTATGTTTTATCAAACAAAACAATAGTTAGGCATTACTCTTGTGCAGATGGTGTCTCAATGTTTGCTGTGTGGGTTTTAACCCGAGTTTTGTTTAGAAAATATGACATTGTTAATTGTAATTAGTCGGATTCAGAACAAGAATTTAGTTTAAAATCGAAAATCCCTCGATTGTGAACAACTCTTCTCCAACAGCCTTGAAAATGTACCTTGATCATCAATATATTATTATCATGACTGTTTCATTGTTAATTTTAAGGTGGATGAATGTCATCTTTCCGTATTTGTTCTTATTGTAACCTTTTCTATGTATATTTGTATGTTTATTTTAATTCTAATTTAATTAAGTAATATTGCATATAATAGTTATTATAATTTATCAATAATGGAGATAGTTTTGTCATTATTATTGACTAGATCGGATTGCAAGAAATTTTCCAGTAATCCTCCTTTCTCCCTTTAAGTCAACAAAAATGTTAAAAAGACAACTCAGTGGTTATGGCACAATCTCTTGGCTACATTTATTTATATATATATATTTATATATATATATATTTTAGGGCTTTTATGCCTTTTTAAGGGATGGAGACAGCTGAAGGTAGACAGAAAAGGGGGAGAGAGAGTGGGGATGACACACAGTAAAGGGCCACAGGCTGGTATTGAACTCTGCACTAAGCCTTGGTACATGGGGTGCAAGCTGTACCAGGTGAGCTACTGGGCGCCCCATGGCACAACCTCTAATTTGTCCACTGCCTTATGCAGATAGCTCTGAAACCTTTGACACTGTCATTGTCATTTGTCTCAGTGGAGTTGTGTCTGTGTTACTAGCTCTGGGACCTGCGTCAGCCAGGCTGTAAAGTTGTGGAGTACAGAGGCCACCTCCAGACCACAGCATGCTGTATGTTTCTGCCTGTGCCTCCTGGAAGCACAGCACGGGTAGCAACGTCCTCCCATGACGGCTCTATCAAAATCTGGGATCAGAACACAGCAGGTAACACCCACTCATGGATGGAAACAAATACTGAGAGACACTGTTTGGGTGTTTCATCTTTTTACACTAACTCTCCTCTCCAATTTTCCCTCTGTTCAGCCTGTTTAGCGACGCTGGCTCTAGATGGCGCTGGTCCACTGGTTTCTCTGTCTCCCAATGACACCACCAATCTGCTGTGTGCCAGCTTCAACTCTGGCCTACACCATATCCAGGTGGGCCAGGGATCAAACCAGGCTCAGGGATCTGGGGCAGGTTCAGGTGGAGCTGGTGGCCTGGACATAAAAGTTCTGTCACGCTTCTGACAACCCAGAAGAGCCTGGTGTGACTAATAACCTTGTGAGCAGCATCACTGGATATCCATATCCATGGTCATGCCATGTTCTTTTTTTTCTTTTCTTTTTAAAAAAAATAATTTTACGTACTTCTATACATTTTTTTGCTTAACTAGACTGCCATACAGTAAAGAATGAAAGAAGAGGTAAGTATGAAAAGGAAGGGGCGATACTGAATGGAGGATGCACCTTTTTGTCCAGCTGAGCCACATGGATGCCCATCATAGCTGCTCTTCTAGGAAACTGGTCTGTAAGTCATATTATCCATTAATTGATGAGACCATAAACACCATAATGATCCTGCATGGATTGCTGCCTTCTTGGACCAAGCCAGAATAACTGGGGATTTTATACACTACTTCGGCTAGGTGGGGTTGACGAGGTGCTTCGTGCACATGTTGTATTGCTTAAAGTGGTGTTTGGAAATTTGGAAGCATTTGGACATAGCAGGAAAATATTTGGACAGGTTTTAAAGGTGAGACTGGTAAATTGGAAGCCAAATAGAATTTCAGACTAAGAGTATGTCATTGTTTTTTTCCTGGATAAAATGTAGTAGCTGCAGTCAGACCTGCAGTCTGGTATATTTAAAACTTTGTGGAAAATTTTTGTTTTTATCACCAAAACAGAGTCATGAGGAACATGTACAATGTTGATAATAATGTAACCGTTGATTAGTTTGTACTGTAGCTTTCACCTGTCAAGTTTTAGACCAAATGAATACCTACAACACAAAACTGTATAAACATGCATTGTTTTAGGTAGAATTCAATTGATAAAGGTTTTTAAAGATACAGATTCTGATATTTTTTAAGTGAAGCTGTCGATATCCAATATATTTAAATTTGAATATACTATGCAAACTACCTGAGTTGGGAGAATTAGAAATCGCTGTACTTTAGCCAGAAACTGTTAATATTAGCAGCCTTAAGTGAGTGAATTTGGCTGCATGTTACATTCCTACCTAAACTAATTATTGACAGAACATACGTTAAACCACTGTTGTATTTGAAGTTTGATACTGAGTACTTACTTGCAGTTTCAGTACTTAACCTTTTGTTTGTAGATATCCAGGTGATCATTTCTCCCAAAGGCAGTGGCTGCTAACTCATCTAATTCCATTTTAGAGAACTGTCTGCAACTAGAGGAACAATATTGGACAGGCCAGGTTGTGGATCACATTAACCAGTTTAGCTGTAATGTACTCTAGGGTGATGCCAAAAACAGGTATAAATTGGTTTAATACCTACTGAACTTTGTTCCAGACAGACAAAACACAGCAACAAAAGGTTGCAGGCTACAGTGAAAACTAGGTCCAGTGTGTAACATTTAGGGGGATCTACTGGCAGAAATGGCATATAATATGCAAAACTATGTTCATTATTAGTGCATAATCACCTGAAAATAAGAATCAGTATGTTTTTGTTACCTTAGAAAAAGACTTTTATATCTGCAGATGCTGCGGGCCTACAGGTCGCTTTCCATAGAGGCCGCTATGTTTCTACAGCAGCCCAGAAGGGAAAAACCCAACACTGGCTCTCGACAGGGGCATTTGCGTTTTGCAGCCACCATAGTTTCTCCTTCGCGCTTGGAAGGGGAGGGTGAAGCGAGGGAGTTGCAATCTGTAACCACACCACTAGATGCGACTAAATCCTACACACTGGTCCTTTTTAAAAGTAGCAATAAGAAAACTCATTCAACTGTGATGTGTGGCTCTGTTATACGGTGCTAGGGAGTCCACGTTCAATAATTCATTATTTTTCTACAATTTAAAGAACACCGGTAGGGAACCAAAGATTATCAGACATTTGCTTTTGTGAGGATTTACTGTTTGGGTATTTGTCACTCTACATCACCAGTTGATTCAATTTTATCTGTGTTTGATACATTATGATTAAGCAATAAATAAGGCATTTTATAATGTCTGAGGAACAAACCTTGGTTGTAGCTCTTTGTGTCAGCTGAGATTTTTAAACTTGGTTTCAGACTTATATTTAATATGCTACTTACATACTTATCATTAAATATGAATGCTTTATTCATCTCATTCAGTAGAGTACTACAGGTAAATGTAATCATTCATAGCCGCTCACACAGAGATGTATCCCAATACAAATCAATCGTATGTACAATGTGCCGACTGTGAAAAAAGATCTATTAGAATATATATTTATATATATATTCCTCTTTTCCAGTAACAGCTGGTGTCTAACTGACATTACTGGCATGTTTCAATTCAGACCTGAAAGCTACTGTGTACAACTTAAATTTCAGCTACTGACCAGTTTCACTGGAACTGAAATGCTCATTTACTTCCTTCCTCCTTTTAATTTTGGGTGGAATTACATTTTTTTTTTTGCATCTACTCCATAACCACCATGGGCTATTAGGAATATTTATCAGCACCACCTAGTGCCAGAAATGTCCTTGACAGAAAGTTATCGCCAAATGCTGTAAGTACTACAAAGTAAAATGTATTTAAAGTGATTCATCCAATAAAATTAAAACTAATTAAAACCTAAATGGACATTTAATCTCAAACCAGACTTACATTAGTTTCAATGGATTCCTTTGACTCTGGTATACCCGAGACTGACTGGTGACACATTTTTTAAAATCCTAAAATAATTCTGATTTCTAAAGCATAAAAAAATGAACATATGCATTCACGCCCGGGGATGTAACATCTACATAAAATCATGAATGAATCAGAGAGTCGAACCCTTTGTCATTCTGTGGTGTTTCATTTATTAAAATCTGGACCTCATTTTCACTTTTGACACAAAAAAAGAACAATTTAGCCATCTGCAGGTTTCGATAAAGACACATTCACACACACAAAGTAGACAACAGCAGGCAGGCATGTTACTGAAATACAGAAATAAAATTTAAAAAATTGTCAAAAATATGAATTGATGAAATTAAAAGAATTAACACCTACTCAAAATTCAAGAGATACAAATAATTCCCTTAAAGAAAAAATATATATTGGCACAGCATGTTATAAAAAGCAGGCTACGTGGAATAATAGAATAAGTAGGATACAGTCAGACACATTACATTAAATTAATGGAATTACTCGCCATTCAACAGGCAGTTTACAGACAGAATAAATATAATCTGTATCGTACCAATATCCACTGGGATCTTTCAACATCCAAGTGGTAATGTCAAGTGGTACATGAGTAGGCTTACAGCTAGTGGCAACTGGACTGTTTTCAAGCTGTTTTTTGTATTTTGAGATTTCTGTGGTGCTAGAAATAATTAATAAAACTGTGAGAGAACTTGTGTGCAATTTGAACAGACAAGAACAGTTAGATTCCTTGTTATTATTCACCAAAACTTTTCAGTGTTTAAAACACAAGAGCTGATAAGCACCCCGCGAAATCCTGAATCTTTTAAAGTCCTGAAGCAACTTAAGTAAAATATCACACATCTGCGTTTGAATTCCATACAGTAATGAACGAGAACCGGACCCCTTGAGATCAACTTTAGTAACACAATCCACTGGAAGGCTAGGTAAACCTTCCTTCAATAACATACAAGATTATTACAATTCAGCTAACACCTTCATAAATCACACATGCTGTCAATTGTAAAACAAACAAGTCATTGGCTACAGACTGAAACCACACATTACAACACACCAGCATCAAGCATCTCCTTCAAGTCAGCTTTACCTCTGCAAATAATAATGAAAACAATCTCACATCATCATCATTTTACACATTTTAAAGTTTGCCAACATGTCAGAGATCACAAGATAGACTGCTGTGATGAAATATTCTGAGGGTTTGTGTCCATTCTTGGCTTGTAATGTCAAACAGCCATAGTAAGTGTGATCATTTGGTCTATCCAGTACAGTCATCAGTGCAAATGTTGACTCATGATACAGAGAAATAAGACTCATCCTAATACAAATTCCTAAATGTAATTAACTTCCAGCTAATTCATCACATCACATTTTTAAAGGCTTCTCTACCTAGGCAGTCCACAACATGTATATCATTTAACATAACATTATAGGCATAAAAACATAGCATGCAAAAATATGCCAGATTACTTTGGCGTTATGGGCTACCTGGGTGGAGGGGCAGAAATGAACTGGGTGTGTTTGGGGGAAACAAGGAGATCTTTTAAAATTGAGAGATTTTCAAACTATTGATACATATTAAGTAAATCTGTATTCAAACACTTTTTGCTGGTAGCAAATCTTCATTACAAGTAGGGCGCACTATTAATCAAAATATTACTGAAATTGCAAAATACCAAGTGCAATATGCAAATAGCAGAACTTTAAGTTTTTGATAAAGGTAAAACGTGTGACCAAACTGCTTTCTAATGAAATACTGTAGTTCTGAAGAGATTCCTTGGACTATAAATCGTGTTCTCCAGATTTAGGTTTGTTTTGTACAGACCTAACACCTTTCACATCACATGTACTGAATACATGAAAAAACACATAATGGTAATTATCTGTATGTGCTGAGAAGCAGCCACGAGTCCATGGTTTTGAACCTGGTGTTACTGTGATGCAACAACTTCCTTCTCCAAGAATGTTTACGCAGCACCCTCACTATACTGAGAAACATCAGGACTGGGGCAGAAATGCCTCCCAAAGCATCTCACACATACTACATACAAGTTGCGGAAGAGTTTGTTAAATCTGAGTGTCATGGGTATAAATACCGGTTGGTTCTTTGGCCTCAGTAGTGTCGCTAACTGTAAGAGCCATCTGATCAGTTCAGCCATCCTGCAATATTACTGACTTGTCTACCTCTTTAGTCAATCTTAATAATGAGACACTAAAAGCAACATTTATCCCCCGGATTTGCACAGCATTAGGGTCATTTATATAAAACAGAGTCCAGATTCTATAAATTGAAATTACAAAAGGGGGAATACGAATAGATGATGACTTGTGTTAAACATAGAGGAGAACGCCTGGTATGACAGTACATGAAGAGAAATATAAAAAAAAAGACTGGCAGAAATAAAGATATAAAAAGCCCTATTACACTAACAAACTATAGTTATCTACAGTGACGCACACTAAGAAGGTGTCCAAAGCACAGTTTTAACAGTGTTTTACTGTAAATATCAATAAGGCTGGTTGTAAATCTCTCATAAAGTTACTGTAAGAGCTGTACATCAGCTTCAAGCCTGACCTTTCCAATGCAGGTTTAAATGGGGTTTTACAGTACATATATGTATTTTTACTACAGAATCTGAGAGACTAGACATGATTTAACTCTACTTCACTAAAAACTATCATCCTAAAAAGATGTATTAAGACATAGTTCAAGTCAGTGTGATGTCCATGTAATGTTATCTAAACCACACATTTAAATGCCATTTCCCAATTTAAACTTTAGAACCACTAGTTGCAATAATCCCTATAGTAAATCCATGCAAAACAATGATAAAAAGACATTAATCAAACGTTGCAATTTCAACATGATGCAAGAACACAAACAGTGCACCCAGTTTATCAGTAAGTATTGTATGTTACCAAGACAGATTTCAAAAGATATCTGAAAAACTGTGAAGTGACTCAAAAGAGACCAAGACATGATTTTTATATACTTGATATCTCTTTTCCAATTCTATATGTGTGTTGGCTGAGTCCCTGAGATATTGCTGCCTGTATGCATTTTCTCCTAGTCTGATGGTGACTTTTTGATACAGTGCTTTTCCATTTCACAAGCTTTAAACACACAAAAACACACACACACACACACACACACACACACACACACACAAATGCATCTGCACACACATTTGAGTAGGTCACCCAGATGCATGCACCCATACACACAAAAACACAATGAAAAAGAGGTCCTGATGTCAAACTATTGCCACTATGGAACAGGGACTTGATCTACATGATTTCAACATTTTGGATGGAAAATGTAATAAATAAATCTTACTATGAGCAACTATTCAACATCTTGAGGATTTTTACATATTAGAAATACAATGTATCAGTCCCCTGCATCATTCACCCAACCCCTTTCCTACTTCAACAGTTTCAAAAAGGGGAAAAATGTGGACAAACCTGTGTAAGAATCTGAACCCCCAGGTTATTAACAAGGATAGAAATAAACAAAGACACATAAAATATGCTTATTCATGTAGCACGAGCATTGAAAATGCTTATCGAAACACCAAAAATTCAAGCCTCAACTTGGGAGTTTCTCAAAAGTAGCTGAGGTGTAGAATTAGGCTAGCATTTAGAAAATCATGGATTGGATGGATCTCTCTGATAACTTCCTCACAGATGTAGCAAAAACCTTTCAAAGCCTTGAGACAAAAATAAAACAAGAAATTGTTGTTTGGTTGATTTGCGTAAGCTCCAAGTGAACTGTCCACACCTTTTGACGATTTTTAGGTATTCTGTAACTAATATCAACACATAAAATACTGTTTTCAAATCTAGTTTTGTCCCCCATCTGACAATAGAGTTGTAAATACCCAGTAGTTGTGTCGCTGCAGATGTGTACAGGAAATAGCATCCTGACATCAACTGCAGCTGGTTCTACATTACCCCCCCCATCCTCATCGCCACCTACTGCTCGCCGGGGCGCTCCAGGCTGTCTATGACGCGGCTCAGCCTGATGTTAAGCAGCCTGATCTGAGTGTCAAGGTGGTCAATTTTCTCTTCCAGTGAACCTGCCCCGCCTCCCCGACGCCAGTACGCTCCCACAGGGCCCGTCATGAAGTACACCACCATGATGAAGCACAGCGGCAGCACTGCGCGCTCAGGGTCACCCTCAAACTTCTGGAGGATGTAGAGACAGGACAGGGCGAACAGAGTGACGCGTGCTAGCCAAAAGAAGCGGCCGAACACAGCGTGCAGCAGATAGAAGAAACCTCCCAGGAACATGGAGAGGAACCAGTAGGCCAAGAGTACAGCTGCAACCAGGAGAAGAGCGCGTGCTGGAGAGTTGGTGAGAGATGTGGGGCTGAAGTAGTGGCTGAGGTTTGAGGCTACAGAGGGAAGAAAGGAGAGAGGAGGAAGTAGATAAAAACATACAAAAATGTACATTCTTAGTGTAAATTCTGCAATGTATCCCTCTAACAATGTACCCCTCTCTTTGTGCCTATGTTAGAGTGTAATAATACATTTAAAACTTACAGTCGATGCCCATCACATCCAGCAAATCCGACCAGATCTTCCAGATGGTGTCGAGGAAAGAGTCCACTCCATGGACAAACCGCTCTGTCGTTTTGGAGAAAAACTATAGAACAAAAAGAAGAAAGAAAGGTAAGAATGTTTAATTGTCATATTAAATTAATTTATTAATTTTTAATGGAAAACCCAAAGTGAAAACCCAATAGTAAAAGGAATTTTTTTTTACAGGACTGCATCCTACCTAACATCTCAGCTAAATTAGATTTTTATCTTAATATAACATGTTCGAAATGTATTACAACTGTAGAAACTGAACTGATGGTACAGTGTAATAGTTGAATACAATTGTGCAATAATCATGATCTTCCAATCTACTGTCAACAAGAGAGCAACTCACAGCAGCTGTCTTTAGCCACAGTGATGTAATATACATTTAAACTATTAAGCAAACCAATGCTTTGTTAGTTTCTCTCTCTAACTGCTACCTATGCTGTATTGTCTTCTGAAACCTACAATATGGAATTAACTGCATTAGAACAATATACCACAGATTTGGGGAAGTGACATAACAGCTTTCGGTCTTGTGATATAAATGTTACAGACTTTTAAACAATGTACAACATCAAGCCATTTATTTCTCTCTGGCCTGTGTCACTGTAAATAAAAAAAAACTGCTATTTTATATTTTGAAACTGACCGAAAATAAAAATAACAACAAACTAGTTCTTATCATAGCTGAAAAAACACATGTAATTTATGACACTAATGATCCTCCATTCTATTTAGGTGTAACAGTAGCACGATATCAGGTCTGTGCGTCTGGGACACCTACATTGATTGCAACCTTTATTAACGATATTAGTTACATCTGTATTTGACAGGTCACAATATCCCTCTCCACAAAAGTTCTATTCAATCTCATTTTGAAGTCGACATCAGTTAAAGCAACCTGGGGGTAGAGACCCCCATCACAGGTTGCCAAAGCATCACAGGGGGTCATGAGGCCTTCCTAATTGTAAGGGATGTAAGAAAACTTATATATATAATTTAAGATTTAAACTATGAAGACCTCAACACAAGCTATATTCACAGAGCCTTCAAAGTCTGATAAACAGCCTCGTCCTGCATTTCAAAAGTAACAACCAAACAGCTAATAGAAAAAAGTGTCAGGGAAAACAGAATTTGTCAAAAAAAAGAAGCCTATTAAGTATATATTATTATTGTTAAAAGACATAATACAGAAATACATTTGTATAACAACTTCTGTAAATAAAATAAAAAGCAGAAAAACTAATCTGTGATGCAACATTCACAGGAAATAATCCACCTCACAATGCATCAAACTTCCTGCAGTTACTGTGTTCACTGTTTGGCTTCATTGTACAGTTTATCAGTTGCTGAGTATCAGTTTACTCAATGACAGAAAAGGGGTCCCTTAAGGTAAAAGGTTGGGAACCACAGAGTAAATGAATGTTATCAGTAAAACTGACAAACAGAGACCCAAGCATTTCATTATACATTGATTAAAAAGGAGCTGAAGCTGCAGTCAGACAGTAAATAATCACGTGTGTAGGACTACCTATGTCACTTTGGTTTGCTTTGGCGGCTGCAAGCAGGAATTAACATTAGCTTTTTAAAATGCAGGAAGTGCAGCTCGACCAATGAGAGTATACACGCTAGAGATAATGCGTTTCCTTATGAAGTCGACATAAAGAAAACAGCTGTTATGGCCTGGACCAATGGGGCTACGAGCCATCTGTGTGCGGTGACATTAGATGCGCTCGCTGATGGACAATGAATGACATTAATGGTTACAGGACAAATAATAGAAATTAAGTGCTGCTGTTGGGTGAAAACACATCTAATGTCACTGTTTACGACAACGTTAAGCCACCTGACATCTTCTATAGACGATAAAACATGAGATAAAGGCTTAATTTTTCAAAATGGCATCCGTGAAATGTGTTGGCCAGGCCCCGCGCTCTTGTTTCCTGTTCGCCATTCAGACCACAAAACACCCGTCTGGGCTGCCAGCACCGCCAAAACGAGCTGTTATCTCGACAATACAAGTGCCCCCCCCCCACACACACACACCTTATACAACCCACGAATGTTGTCCTCTCCGAAAACGCTGCTCAGAGTCTGGTAGATGCCATTAGCTGCCCGTCGGAAGCTGTTCTGGTTGCTGGTCCTGCTCCTGGCCGCTTCGGTTGTGCAGAGCAGAGACGCGGAAAGCACCAAGAAAATCACGATAAACCTGATTCCCTTCATGACACCAAAGGCCCAGAGAGGTCGAGAAGAAATGTGTATGGAAATTGTTCAATAAAACGCAAGGTAGAACAGATGGTTTAGCTGCCTGAAGTGACACCTTGCTGGGATATGACAGACTCGCTGGGATGGTGGTGATAACCGGTGTTGCCTTCAGGGACACCTCGTAAACCTTTCATTTCCGCGCCCCGGAATGGGCTTGTGCATTTATTGAAGGAGCATTGTGAGAAAGGTAGTCGAGTGATGGTTGCTGCTTCATCTTATCGACTCTACTGGGCATTTGTGAACACGGTATTAGTAAGTAAGCGAATATGTGTTTGAATTGGTGTATTTGTGAAACATAACCCGTGTGTGACTGTCAGTTGTGAAAGGGCTTAATGCACCAACACTGTTTAGAGTACCAAATTAATAAACATATATTTATTACATTCATTTACCATCCCATTTGCATTTTTAAACACTTGTGCTGGTGCCATGCCTCTTTGATCATGATATTTCCGATTACAGTAAAGGCCACACTTGTGTTTGAGGCGGGATACACTCATCTGAAGCTTGCTGCTGCTCTCCAGTGGTGAGATGGACTCACTGGTTTTTTGAACATTTCTTACCAATGAAAGCATCATACTCAGCTTTTCTTTACTCTTTTTAAAAGTAATATTATTACTTTACTTATTGCTCCCTGCCAACAGTAATTAGTTACACCAATTATCTAGATATCTATAACTTCTGCAACACCATAATCTTAAAACTAATTTCTATTTATTTAATTTCTGTCAGCATATACTGTGACATGTTTCCATTTCCATTTACTTTATATATAGGCTCCTATATCTTATTATATCTCTTAGGCTCTTATTATATTTCTATTTTCTATTTTCTATTTTCCATTTTTACTTTTTACTATACGTTTATACCTATACATTTATTTCTATTCTATATATTGTGTTAGATATTGTATATAAGTACTATTTCTTTAACATTGTGTGAGAACAACTGTAATGGAATCAATAAATAGTTATATTACTTTCCTCACGGAATTGGTAATTGTATCCCTTCTCCCCAAAATGCAGACTTCAGACAATTAAAATCCAGTTTTGTTTGTTAAAATCAAAGTAATAGGAATATTTCCAGCTACCTAATATAAGCATTTCCATCTTACAAACAGGTTTCCTCAACAATTACAAAAATGAAAAAAATAAATTAAATAATCTAATGATGTGATTGGATTGTTGTATTACAAATTAGTAGGTAAAGTAATATTTTAACTAATTATTAATTGGGGGGTTGGGGGTAACTGTAACATTATTACTGAAGTGTATTACTAATTAGTTACACTACTAGCTACTGCAGCAAGTTATATTATTACTAGTAATGAGTAATTGCAGAGCACTGATCATCAAGTATGCTACGTGGATTTCTGTTATGGCTTCCTGTACATCAAGTTTTATGTTTGGACAAAGCAATGTCTCTGCATTGTTGTGTCTCCCTTTACCTGTTTCTGTAACTACGGAATTAATATTGCAACCAAAATAATTCAATATATTTAGCTGTTATTGTAGTTTAATAAACCCTACGTCTTGTGATAGTCATAAATCAGTTAGAAACTGAACTACTCTCTCAGCTACACACTAAATTATTCCTTTGTTAATAGTTCTGGATTACATGCCTTGTTTTTCAGGGTGGTCCCTTCGAAAATGCTTTCTTCTTAACCCAGATTCCCTAAAAAAGGACAACAAATAAGATAATATGCTCAACATCTTAACGGCATTTTCGGTAATACTTCTTTCACTGGTGCAGTTTTCAGTCAGAGGTGGTAGAAGTGAGGAAAGTCTTAAGTGAGAAATTGTAATGAAGGATTTAGGACAATATTCTAGAGCTCATGGTTGACTGATTAATGTTGGCCTGTGACAAAGTTTCCCACCACAGTTACAGTAATCATATCATTAATTAAATGAAATATTTGTCTCCACTGATTGTTGTTGTTGTTGTTGTGTTATTGGATGGCCTAGTGTCTAACTAAGTTTTCCTCTTGGACATTGATAACATTTGCCAAATCAAATACCAGTGTGCAGACCATCCCTGCTTATGAGACATGACAGGAAGTTCAAATAAACATACAGTTCACTGCTGTTACAGAGAGGCCACTTGTTACTTGGATGGCTTTCCCCTGAGTTCTCATTATCCAAATCTTGACTATATTGTGGGGCAGGCTAATGGTGCAGGAGGAAGTAGGTCAAGACTGCAAATAATGATAACAGGAGTGGCGACAAGAGTGGCACAATAAGGCCAAATGCAGGAACAGAGAAACAAGCAAGCCGTGTTGCTGAAATTTGCTTAATCACAGGACCATGAATATTCAGTAATTTTTCCCTTTAAATGAGTACTAACTGGCCCACTTTAGGGGAAGATTAATGGATGGCAGGAGTCACCCACTAGATGGTAGGATTGGACCATGGTTGCACGCCGACGACATTAACCATTAAAATATGAGGTTTACTGTATAATAGCATACCTGTATGACATTTTGCAGTAGATGAAAATGAATTAGGATGATTTCACAATGACCACCTCCTCACCCCTCTCACCCGGTCCAAGCATATATAACTGTACTCAAAACTCATCTATTTAATGCTACCCCCCCATCTCATTTTTATTGCACCACCTTTTTTCTTTATGTTTTTGTTTTGTTTTCATGCTGTTTTGCTTCTCCTCTGTTGTTATAGTAATTTATATAGGCTACTGATATTGCCTTGGCTGTTTCTGCTGTTGTAAGTAACTAAGTAAAGCTTAATTTATAACTTACACCACTTTTATAGACCATACACAAGATAAATAAAAAACATGTAAAGTCCTTTTGCGTACCCTTTAAAGCGCTATATAAAATAAATGTATTATTATTTATTATTATAGAAAAACCAGTAATGGTAACAATGGCAATGCAATTTATTAGAGTTACAAAAACAAATGTTTTGGTACCTTTGGTTTGTCTGCGTCTGTTTTCTGACACCAGTCGCTGTGTAACGATCCGTGGTATCCTAGCAACGGCGCACGCCAATAAGGCAGAGTGCAGAGAGACCGTACTGTGAAGACAGCAGTAAAGGAATGTTTTAAACCTCTGGGCTTATCAAATGTAATTAAGTGAGACCTATATTTCAGTCGTGGGCCGACTCTAGCAGGTGTCCACACTGTCCACATGAAGTCCAGTTAAGCTAGCAGTCTGTTTGAGGCAGGGAGAAGTTAAAATGTACAGCCGAGCTCCGAGAGTGACCTTCCTGCCAACGAGCGGTACTTCATCTACAGTTGGCCCCGGATCCTACGATGTCCCCCTGTCCGCTTCTAAAACAGGTAGGAATTACCTGCTTGTTAGGTAGCTGCCTTCAAAACTTGAGTAAAAAAAACTGAAGGCTAATCGAGTTTAGTTTTAAATACATAAACCCAACTGCTTTCATTTATTCCCCAGAGAAGTTAACATTACTAAAATCAACCCAGCTAGCTGTATGTCCAGATGCTAACATTGCCTGCCATACGTTAAGCTAATCATGTCAATAGTTTACAGTGATATTGTCCAAATTTGACCAATTTCGAAAGATTCATAATGTTAGCCTACCCAGGTATACCTACAGGGGAAGGACAAATGACTGGCTGTGTAACTCCATTCATGTGCCATGAAATATATTAAACCATGTCTACATTTTTCATGTTGCTGTTCATTTCCATGGTGGGGTGGGTTACTTTAAAAATGTAATCCAATACAAATACTAATTACCTGTTAAACATGTAGTCCCCAAGCCTGTCCATCTGCTATAATAGTTAAAAATCAACAATTGTAAATCACATATTCTACCTTTGTATGATTTTCTATGTTGCAGATGGCTTTGCTCCATTCCTGTCCTTGACAAACAGACAGCCAGTATTCATTGAGCCCAGTGAGAGGATACCAGCACCTGGACAGTATACCTACTCACCTGTCAAGGTACTGTAGGTCAGAGGGAGTCATTTACATACAATTACATCAAGACCTTGGTGTACATGAGAGCCATATACTGGGTTAGGTGAAGTTGGATTTCTTACTGAAGTATGTGGGCTTGGTTATACTGGGGCGGAAAAACAGTACAGTACTTTGCATTTTTGTCAGAATATTTTCAAAAAGAATGATGGTGGCGTTACTAGTTCTTCCCTGCTTCACCCATATAACGCAGAAGATACCAATAGAGGAGAGGCAATGGGTATTGTGGTAAAATTGTTTGCATAACAACTAATTTGTTCGCCAGCAGCCATTGAATTGCTCTTTCCTGTCAAAACACAAAACTATTCATTTAGGAAGGCATTGGAGATGCAGCTTATAATACCGGATGAGAGCAAGGGGGAAAATTTGTTGAGGAAAATATCCTGTTGAGGAAATCTTTCTCGATTGCGACCTCATTCTCTCTGTGTCTCTCTGCTGAACCCATATCTCTACAGCTAAACATCCACGGTGGCCGCAGTCTCCAGAATCGCTCTAAGCGTTTTGAGGAGGTGGTGTCGGAGGTTCCAGGCCCCGGGGCCTACAATGTGCTGCCTGCTTCAGGAAACATGCTCAGGGCCTTGACGGCTGATGCAGGACAGGCTGAGAAGCTTGGCAGGAAAATGGTAGGCATATGGGTGAAGTTATGAGGACAAAGTAAATGAGCAGTCAGGTTACAGAAAATTATTTATTATTGATTTTCTCCTTCTGGCTTGTATAAAAGCCACAGTAAGTTGGCTTTTATGCAGTATGTCCTTTGTATATTTGAGTAATATATGTAGAAAACTGCTGTTCAAAAAGTCACCTGATACCTATACAAAAAAATATATGCATGAAGTTTAGGGGTGCAGACTTTCTACTTTTGTACTGTGGGTATATATCTCTGATGATGATGATCAGTTCCATATTACCAAAATATCCTTTTGTTCTGTGAGTTTTGTCACCTTTTTCTTTCTGGTCCCCATCTAACCAGTTTAAGCAGGCTTGTGTCTCATATTCTGTTAGCACTACACATACAGTACAACAACAGTTAACAACTTTAATTTCACACATACACTAAAAAGACAATAACATGTAAAACTCTCCTTATCGCAGTTCACTGTGATGTGCTGTATTTATGGGTTTTGTCAAACAAAGGATATGAATAGCAGCGCTTCCTCTTAAAGTGGTGACTGCCAATACTTGCAGGGAGTACCTTAGCTCTTAACACCAATCTATGGGAATTAGAGGCTGCTATTTTAAAACCTCTGTGGGAAACAGTGTTTCTGGACTTTTGTCAAAACAGTCACTTCTTTATTGTTCTTATAAAAAGAACACCATCTGGTGTATTTGCTTTAACTTTTGAAAACTTACCACATTCAGTAAGGAATATTCTGAACATGGACGGTGAAACAAAGGAAAGATAGAATCTGATATCTTTTCTCCTTAATAAGTCAGACATTCTATCACACCTTGTAATGTGAAGCCTCGTTTATAATATGCAACAAACACAGTAACAAGTTTATGATCATGATGGAGAGTATAAGGACTAAAACTGTAAAGACACCAGTCGGTCCTTAAGTTGACTTTGCCATTTTTTGTAGAATATCCTCAGTAACTGTAACAGTGGCAAAGTCAGAACTGTCCAGGGGCAGTTCTTACATGTTCAAGGTAAAAGCTGAAGCCTGTTTTCATTTTACCTCTGTTCTTTGTAAGGCCCCCTGAAACTTTGCACACCCTTTTGTGTTTTGTGCCCAAAAACAATGATGAATAGCAATGATAAACTCCTGACAGGTTTATCAGTGTTATTCATCAAATTGAACAAATAGAAGAGGCTTGTAGCTTTGTAAATAAACATTTGGCACAGTGAACCCTCCCCCCTGTTTACTTTGAAAGATAATGTCTCAGCTGGTTTGAAATTTTAAGACAAAGCACTTACAAAGCAAGCAAACAATTATATCATTTAGCTCTCTAAATACCTTGAATGATATATGAACTTTGGATTTTGAAATATATTAAACCATATATTTTGGGTAATGTGGCCTCTCCAGTAGCCCCCAGCTTCATCAGCAGTGATGCTAAAGTAGTGAAATAGCCTTGCAGTGAACTGAGATGATATGAAATAGCTCTTTTCATTTGCCTGCTCATTTGCCACCCTGGACATTTCATTTATGTCCAGGGTATACACACATAGTGTAGTTAAGCTTTAAGTTAAAGCTGAGCTCAGGCCTTTTATCTGATGTGATTAACTCACTTTATACAGTGAATGGAGCATTTGAAACTTTCACCTGTGAAAGAGAGATATTATGCTCACACTCTCTTCCCTCTTTGCTAGCTGCAATTATCTGAAGAGCACATCTTACTTCTAGAAAGTTAGTAGAAAGCTTTTATGCATTTTGACTGAGATGGCCTTGATTGCCTGTTCCCTCAGCAGATATTGTTCCTATTCCCGCACTTCTACTTCTGCCTTTTCCTTCTTTCTTCCTCCTTTTCCCTTTTCAATTTTGTTATTTTCTGCCTCCTCTCGCTCCTTCTCTCTCTGTCCCTCCTTCAGTCTCTCACTATATTGGCCCCAGGCAATGTTCAGCTACTTTGTAAGCCAGGGCATCCTTTCCATCACAAACTCTGCCTTCTCTTCCCCACTCTCCCTGTCTTTCTCTCCACGCAGTGGCTGCAGGCTAAAAGTCTCCGGCTGGTTCGTCAGTCAGAAATCCCATCCATTCCTTCCCCGGGCCAGGCCTATGGCTATGAGGAGGACGCCCTGGGTGTGCTCAGCAAGCAGCAGCCCCCTCACAGGGACACAACCCTTGGGCCAGCGTACTACAAACCACTGCAAGTAAGGACAGTTGCACAGACACACACACACACACACACACACACACACACACACACACACACACACACACACACACACACACACACTCATGTTGAAGTTTGAATGTACATCCATCAGAGAATGTGAAGTGTTAAATTGTGCATGCATGTGTGCTTTCATTAGTCTGTATGAGTGTGTGTCTGAGTGTACTTACTCTGCCCGCAAGGCGAGGTCCATTAGTGTTAGGCAGATCTAATGCACCACTGAACCCCCACCCCACCCGATTCAGTTGGCCCAAAACCCATTTCCATAGCTAATGAATGCAGCTCTACTTTAAAAAAGCCACAGCACACCAATGCTCATCCATTTTACATGCCAACAAAGAGAGCCATTAGTAATTATTCTTCAAGCTATATTACAATATTCACTTAAAATAATGCACACGCCTGCTGGTCTGGCTCTCAATTAAGTCATTTTTCATCTGTTAATGACCACAGGAAGTCAACAGCGTCCTTGAGTGTTGGCCGAGGTTGTGTCAACACACCGGCGCAGGCACAGAGGCGCGCTGTGATTTAAAGCTATCAGCAGTGCATCCATCCACGGCTCTTTTTTTCCATCTCGACTTCTGTTGCTCTCCCTTTGAAAGTTCAACCGCGGTTTTTGTCTGTCTTCCGTCTCTCCATCTGACACGCTCATTTCTTTAAACTCAAACTGTTCCCCCGCCCCGTGCGCAGACTGAGTTCAAAAGTGTGGGGAGGCGGAATTAAGTGGTTGTCTGAGGACGTAACTTCAAAGTGACCGGGGCAGCCGTTGAATGATAAGACATTAGCCAGAAATGAAAAGAGAATGGCTGTGTTTTCTGTCTGAATGTTACTGATAAAAACAAAAACATCTCAATCGGTTTTATCCAGTGACCCCCAAACTTATAGTTCACTTCTGTATTGACAGAGCAATAACTTTACTGCATCGACTGATTCTTACAAGTTAGTACACAGAATTAGAGACAGACTAATATGCTGGAATTGTGAGTAGCTGTTGGCAGATATGGGCTTATCACAGATATATTGGTAGAGGCATGTAATGATGGCTGACATGTAAAATAATATTGTTAAAAGCATTTGGGCTAATTATCACCATGAGATATGTTTTTAGTTCAGACAGTGTTGTATTAGATTGTAATAGGAAGTGTGTGGAATTATATCACTGGAGTGATGATTCTTCCTAAATATATTCCCTCATTTAGTATTATGAAAATGGTCTATGATGGTTTAAAATCTCCAATATGTTTTTGCTTTGGTTGAAGTCTGTTTTCATATTTATCAAACCATTCAGTGATGCATTGTGCTCTGTACGGAATGTATTTGTTATGTTTCCTCACTCATGTATTCAGTTTTTTTTCTTTTATTTGTCCGCCATTTGTTAGTCACAAAGTTTCTTTTTTGTTACGAAGTCCGTATGCTATTATATTGTTTATCTGTGAATACCCTGCCACAGAAATCATAATGTGTTTGGCATGGAGATGAGAAATGGAAATGTAGACACAGACAACATTGTCCTCTTAATAGAACCTGAATCAGATTTATATCCAGACTGTGTTATGTATATGTTTATAATAAACACACCAACAATTTCAGCCTGCAGGATGCTGCCCACACACGACCCTACTCACGAAAAGCTTTATTTATGGTCGACTTTTTTAATCTAATTTAAATAATAAATAGCCTGCCATTCCATTTTATCAAAGCTGAATGAATATGTTTATACCCACTAGCTGTGTTTTTGTTTTGCTTTTAAAAGCTCTCCTTGACTTAAATAGGCAATTTGTGCCTCTGAACTCAATGCCAACTGTGATACCATCACAGTGTTTGTATGTGTCTGCGTGCAATGCAGAACAGTTATGTTTTTCTTTTTAGCTTTAAGCATCTGAACATCCTTGTTTCCTATCTCCCCTCCTCATAACTGGATTGGTAGATCACAAAGGACAGAACCTCAGAAGTCGTCCTCCAGTCACTATTGAAGTTGAGATAAGGAGATAGCCACCACATGGAGTTAGAAACTTCTTGAGACTCCCTGCCAGTCTTCCCATGACCTGCCTCATAAAATAGACACAGACAGTTGGGTCAAGTTAGAAATGAAAAATTTTAGATGCCTTGATATTTGATTTAATGAGGGAAGTTGGAAATGTCTCATTTCAGTACAGGTGTTTTTATTATTGAGGGGCAAGCTGCGGACTTCTTTCAGTTTCAAGAATGTGAATTGAAGCAAATTGGGAAGCAAACTGTTAAGTAGAAGCCCCCTGTTACTTATCCAAAGATTATGGAATAACATTTGGTGTATTTGGGTATCCCATTGCTCATAAACTCAGTCTGGTCTTTAAAAACTCCAGTGCCATGCTTTCTTTATGTATCACATTAACATTAATGGTCCAGTGTGTAAGTGTGAGGATCTATTGGCAGATATGGAATACAAAATTCATAGGTTTGTTTTCTTTAGTGTAAAATCACCTGATAATAAGAATCGTTTTGTTTCGTTATGTAAGAATAAGACATTTTTATCTATTTATTTTGAGCAAGTAAGCATGCTGAATTTAGCCCACTTTGTCTAAATATAGCCTCACAGAGTCACTAGTGTGGCTAAAGACTGTTAGTCTTGTTGATCAATAACTTGCTTCTAACCTGTTTCTAAGAAAGAATACTACAGGAATTCACAACCCTGTAGTCGTGTGTAGTTTAACATTTTTTTGCAGCTTGCTATATGCTTTTTAGAAAATCTCACACATGGTGTCTCTAAAATGTGTTTGGTGACAGCTGGCCAGCTCATTTCCAGACATAGCCTCTCTCAGTTATTAAGCTGCAGAGTCAACTGGTCCTGTCTGAAAGGCCGGAGGCAGTGGGAGCAGGCTGTAAAACTCAGTGAGATAAGAAAGGACAGGGGTCTCCCCTAGATCTCTGACATACTCTGGCATTTGGCTGAACTTCACATTTCATTTAGCCCCAACTTCATGAGCCCTGGCTGGAAGAGAAACCAGATAAGTGTGAATGAGTCAATTCTATTTTCTCCTTCTTTGTTCTTCCATTTATCCTCTTGTTATCTTGTTCTCTCCCTCTTCCTGTCATCTTCTTTTTCTCATTCTTTCTCCCTGACCAATCCTTTCTTTCATCCACTCCTCACCACCTCTCTCTTGGTGTCTATCTTTTCTCTCTCTTTCTCTTTCTGTAGTCAGAGATGAGTTCTGCCCAGAAGTATAAAGGAGTGCACTTTGGTAACATGACGGGGAGGAGAGGTGAGGTGACATTGGAGGAGGGACCGGGTCCTGGACAGTACGACCCTGAGATGTGAGTACCACAAGTCATGCTATGGTATTAAATACGTTTTTAGTACCAGTGGCATATGAACAACAATGTTGAATATCACTTCAACATTGGCCTGGCAACTGTGTTAAAGGTCCAGTGTGTAACATTTAGAAGGATCTAAATACAATACTCACAAATATGTTTTCATTTGTGTATAATCACCTGAAAATTGTTGTCTCCTCTACGGAATCCACCATGTTGAACCGAATGTTTGTATAGTAGCGCAGAACTAAGACAAAACAAACACTGGCTGTAGTTAGGGCCTTTAGCATGTGAGTTTCAAGGGCAACATAGTTTCTCTTACACACTTTCTCTTACATGTGGAGGATGAGGTGAGCGATATTCAGTTGTTGCAACGTCACCGCCATTAAAGTCCTACACACTGGACCTTTAAATGTTAAAGCAAAGGCAGTTTGACATTTTGTGAAAGATTATTTTTTTGCCATGGGCTCGATGATAAGACCAACTCTCATATTTGTATTGTAAATATAAGGCTACAGCCAGCAGCTGGTTAGCTTAGCTCAAAAGACTGGAAACAGGCAGAAACAGCTCGGCTCTGTGGTTTTATGGGGGTTATGTACCAGAATATTTCTTGCCTGGGCACAGTGATTGCCTTTGGACAGAGCCAGACTTGTTAAACTGAGTTAACCGGCTGCTGGCTGTAGCCTTATATTTACCTACAGACTTGAGAGTGGTATCAGTATTCTCATCTAACTCTCGTCAAGAAAGTTAATAAGCATATGACCCAAAATGTTACAATATTGCTATAAACTGTCTCTTTTAGTTTTAAGTTTGATTTCATTGAAATCCTTTGGGGGCAACTTTAAAGGCTAATGTAGTACAGTCAGTATTATTTTATTATCAAACAAAATAATGGTTGGCAAGTTCTCTATAAGATCTGCTGAAGTTAGCAGTACTTCAGGAACTTTGCTAACTAAACAGGTTGGTAGTAACTATCTGTGATTCTGAGATATTCATACTAAATTCAGTTTGTTGGATTGCCATCAATGTGTATGTATTTGGAATAAAAACCTTCATAAATTCCTATGTTGAACCATAGATAAAAAGAGGTTGGTTAGATATATATATATATACTCCAGGGCATCTAATCTCAGAAGTTCACTGCTCTTGAGCGCTTACAGAGATGTGTGCTGAACAGAGCAGCTGTTCCACCAAAGTGAAATATAGCTTTTATCCTCCAACCAGAGCATTATGTTTGACATTTCACACATAGCATTTCTACTGATGGCCACGGAGGATGGGCCTTACTAAGCACTTCTACATTGGTGGGCACACTTCCAGCTCAGCTATTCATAAGCGAACCAACTGAGTAATAGAAGGGAACATGAGCAATGCATGTGAGCAATCATACTAGTGTATACATTCACAGTAGATGTAGGCAGACGTTTACATGCCCACACAAATAGGTTTGATACACATGTGATTATTGGCATAATTAAAACATGATTGAAAATGATGTATTTTACTACTGTTACAGTTTCTGACAGAGCTGTTGTTTTCAGTCTTTTCTCACCTTCACTTGCTCATTCCTTCTCTTTCTTATTTTCTTCTTTATCCATCTGTCTTTGCTTTGTTTACCTCTCTCCCTATTTACCTTTCCATTACACATCTCTCTTCCCCTCTCATTCAATATATTGTACTGTATCTCCCCATTTCTCCTACTTTGTTCTTTGTTTTTAAACAAAAACATTCTCTTTATTTTTTATCTATTCTATATGTTTGTCTGTCTTCTATTCTCAAAGACTTGTTGTTGTTGTCTCTGTCTGTCTCAGAAAACTAGAAACGTACTACGAGAATGTGAACCTTCAAAAGGAGCAGAAAGGCCGAGCTGAGCTGATCATCCCTCGCTACCACGAACTGGTGCCCAAGCAAGAGGAAAAGAAGGCGAGTACATGTTTGTGTTGATGGGCGTTTGTGTCCGTGTGCTGCTCTACATGCTAAGCAAAGATGAATGAGAAGTGTAAGAAATCAAATCTTTACCAGACTGGGATCAATGTCGACCACTGCCCCTGTGGGGGATATAGTCCTTTAATGTGAGTCTGTGTAACTTTCTGAACAGTAGCCACTGTGACTACAAGTGGCAATTAAACCTGCATTATTGTATTTTTTGGGCACTTGGGGGCAGCGCAACAAGCTGCAAAGACAGCATTGACATATTATCACCTTATTAAAGTTGATATGGTGAACGGTCTAGCAAACACTTGCTTATTTAAACAGCAACAATAGCATTCATTTAGAGTCTTTCCGGCCAACTGATAAATCGAAGTCAAATACGCAATTCACTCTCATTATTGCTCTGTTTTGTCCTTCATCAACTCCTGAGGTAAACATCTGGCTCTAGCTATTAGATACTCTGTCATGTTCACCAGCTAGTTGCTAACTTTATCTGTCTGTTTGTGGGAACGTAGTGTACAGTGGGTTTTTCTGAGCTTTTGTGCTGAACACAGCTGCCTGATGCTGCTGGAAATGAGGCTGAGAAAGCCCTGAGAGCCTTCAATGAAGCAAAGGTGCATTTTAAATTATGAATTCAAGTTTTGTAAGAGGAAGATGGTCTGTTCTTTCATATGCTAAATAGTCTTGCTTTAATACATGTTAGTAAACAGCCATCAGTGTAATTTCTTGTTTATGCGATTTATTTGGACAGATCACCTGAAAATTAAAAAAATAATAATTCTCAGCCAGAACAAGAGGACTTTACCTACTATTTTACCCACTAACCAGCCTTAAAAGTTAAAAACTGAGATAAAATAAGTGCTATAGCACACACTGTGAACTTGCTTGCAAACTAGCTTTTGAGAGAGGCAGGAAACTTCGAGAACATGGTAATAATTTGTAGATGATATACATACATAAAGTTAATCCTGGGGTTTTGGATTGTAAGAGTAAGAGATGTAACTCAAGTTACAGCACACACAATCAATTTTCCCCGCTGTTACTGTGGACTAGAGGAAATAAATCCCTGTGGGAAACATTAAAGAGTAAAGCTATATTAAAAAAAGAAGAAGAAGATATACTTTATTAATCCCCAATGGGGACATTTCGTGATTTTCTTTTTCAATAACACCTAATAAAGTACATTGAGAGTTACTTAACCACATTATGAATCAGTAATACTGTAGCTTGTTTACAGTATTTGCTTGCATGCCCCCGCAGTTACTGAAACCTCACAATATCTGTTAACAATATCTGCCTATTTTATTATCTTATTATCATATAACGTTGTTGTGATTACACTAAAACACTCATAATAATGTTGGTGCTTTGACATGTTTCAGGAGTAGTTTAATACTTGAGCAGCCATTATTTTTCTTTGGCAGTTAAAGAGCTTGTCCCCTTTCTTCACTGCACTCTGACTCAGATAAAGTCTTAACACAATAGGATTTGAAAACTGCAGATTGAGAATGAGTCATAATAGAGCACCATGATTTACAGTGAGAACTGAGTCAAGGTAAGTACTTTGGATTTATTCTGGATTTATTCAAGTACAGTCGATTAAGGATGAAATGATTCAATCCCTCCTTCCTTTCTCATTATAATTCATCAGTTTATCTGTTCACCCATAGAGGGCAGTAGAACATAAGCTTTAATCACAGACTGGCAACCACACACACACACACATTGATACACTGGAGCCGGTTGAGTGGATGGGAGTTACTCACCTGCATATGAACTTGAGTGTGCTGCCAGAGTAATACTTTGTGATGCCTTATTTCGCCGGGCGGTGGGTTAGAGTGGGTGAGGCAGAGTCTGAAAAATGTGGGACTGGATTTGTGGAGAGAGAGGTGAACGTATCCCGCCTGTCAAAGACTCGCACCTACGCGTTTCCTTCTTGTCCTCTCTTTTCTTGAACATTTTGTTCTGCTCCCTCTCCTCTCTTTAATGTTTTAATTAGTCTATTTAATTTCGCATAGTTCATTATACATGAAATTTTCTTGCATTTGTTGTAACTCTGTTTATGTAATATATGGCTACTAAAATGACTGAAAATATGTTCTAACATGCTATAATTTATCCAGTGACTTTCAGTTAACAACTTTGCCTTCAGTGTATGCTTGTATGTGTGCACTGTGCTGTATATGGACCCCCTACCATGATGGCTGCACCGCCATCCGTCATCATTAGTACCTGACATGTCAACTCACATGTACTCCCACACACACACACACATAGTGACCAGATGGGTCATTACCCACAGTGGGGACACTCAGGACAAACACCTTTACTTTCTAGAGATCAGCAGACAGTCTGTCTCTAATGGCTTGGGGCGGATGGTGTCCCATAGAGTTTAAGTCTGTGTGTGGGATTTTCCCATTAAATAGCCATTCTGACTTGGCGAGGGCAACAACTGAGCAAACCACTTTAACAAACCATTATTGTGTGTGTATTACCGCAATGAAAAGCAAAACAGATGGAGTTGTACCAATCCAATGCCTAATATTATCCTGTAAATACATAGTTCACTGTCAGTTCATCTTTAAAATGTGTGAATTCGGTGTTACGTTTACAGCACTTGTTATTTTTAGAAACAGGGAAGCAGAACTGCTCCCACAGGGGAAAAAGTAGTAACTAAAGTAATAACTTGGTGCAACTAACTCTGGATCAAGGATTATATACCTTTGAACTGAGAAGATGACTGAGACAAAATTGTTATACAATATGTTCAATTAAATATATTCAAATTGTACTGTCTGTCCAGGCTTAGATAAGGCTTATTATGTTTTTTGAGTTGTTCAGATATAATTTCATAGCCCATGGTTGTTTATAAACCTTATTTTTAGTCTTCTGAGAAAAGTTTTTTGATACATAAAAATGATATCAACAGAAATGCTTTTCTGACTATGAGAGTACAAATTCATGTACAGAAAGAAAACTACAGACTGTGATATGCAATACAACTATAGACTCTGACATTATTTCTGAATATAATTTCACTAGCTCAAAATGTTATTGAACCTTATTTGAGTGGGGGTCTGACACAGAGCTGAAAGTGATCCAAATATGTGGTCTTGCTCTGTGCATCTCTGTCCCCCAAACAACATTTTATCAGCAAAAAAAAAAGTCAATGGCAGCTTTACTGTACTTTAACATACTGTTTGCCTGTATGTGACATTTCATGAGGACAAGAAACTTGTGTCTGGCAAGAAGACATTATAGTCAATGTTCATGAATAAAGATTGAGCTGTCCTAAGGCATGGGGAAGACATATTGTGCTGAAATTCACCACTGTTCACCCTCAAGATTCAGGTATAACTGCTAACAATCTGCACAGAAATCCATGCTTTTTTACAGTAGACATAGTTAAACCACCTCTGGCCCAGCAACCTTGTGGGTCTACCACAGATGCTAATGTCTTGCCTCTGCGCTAGGGAATGTGGAAATGTGTGTGTGTGTGTGTGTGTGTGTGTGTGTGTGTGTGTGTGTGTGTGTGTGTGTGTGTGTGTGTGTGTTTCTTTACCACTCACTGTCAGCATCTTTGTGACTGTGAGGTTTGGTGTTGTTAACTGGTTTGCTACTGTAATTACTGCACTGAAATGGTGCAGCAGTCTGGAGTTGGCACATGACATGATTGTTTCCTGTGACTATGAAAAAGAGCAAACATGCACACGTTTCTCTCAGTCTGTTCTTACTACTAAATGTTCTTCAAACAAAATGGCTTAATTGCTTACTTCGCTTTTACTGTTTTCACAAGTTGCTCACTCACCAGATGTTTCATTTTTCTCTGCTGTGTATTTCATTTAGTTCATCTTCATAATAGTATTTACATCCTCTCCTCACCTCTCGGCGCCCTTCATTTACCTCAGAAGTAGAAAGAAATCAAATATAATTTTCTCCGCTTTCCTTTCAGTGTCTTTTTCGCTTCCTCTGGCTCTCTCCTTATCTTCAAATTTATACGACTACATGAAAAGGGAAATTACCAAAGCATGTAACTACAAATCTTTGCTGTTGGGTGGAAACATCATATCTCCATATTTCATCATTTTAAATCAATGCTATTGGTCATCCTTTAGGTCTGTATGTGTGTTTTACAAATGTTTAACCGATGAAAAGTATTAATATCAACAATACAACCTGGGACAATGCAGTGTTCAATTATCATAATATGGTTTTGGACATACAAGGTTTCTGCCTGACAGTCACAAAATGTTACCTTGTACTTACTGTATATTTCTTGCTTTCTGCTTGCCACCAGGGAGTTCCTGGTCCGGGCCAGTACTACATCAGAAGTCAGTTTGAGAAGCCTACGAAGTCCAGCGGTAACCTGCCAAAGTTCACCTGCCCCTTTCTCTCTCAGACTGAGGTACAGTACAAACAGAACTAGATCACAGTTAAGTCATTCAGTGCTTTGTGTGCAGGCTTGTGGGTGCATTTCCAGGTGAACAGTTTGTACTGTATAGAGCAGGGTTTTTCACTAGCAACTTTTGCACTGCTTTTGTCCACCAGGGTCTATTTCAGTTTTTGTGTTTTTTTTCTTATTGCATTGTATTGATTCAGTGTCTGCATACTTGTAGCGGTAGACTCCAGAACTACAGCGATCTCCTTCTAGGAAGTGTGAGACCCATTACTTTTTTCTGTAATCATTTTGGTCATTTCACCCGAGGTTACACCAGAGTGTGTCACGATAACCAGAGGTCACTGATACAACAAAAGATGTGAGCCAAACATGACAGTAGAACTTAATATAATTTTAAAAAATCTGAAAAAGTTATTTAACCATATTTATTATATCATTACCTTATTTTTGTATTTTTTTCCATTTTGTTGTATGGACTCTTCGGACTCTGTGATATCAGCCTGACCCGACAGAAGTAGGGCTCTTATCGCTGACTGTCTGCCATTTGGTGCTCGGTGCAGATACACCTGTCACATTACACAGTCATTTGGTCCATTTTTGATATCAAAATATTGATTTGTGCAGCTTAAAGAAACAGCAGTAACTTGTACTGTTTGTAATGAGTAGCTTTGTAAACCTCATGAAGCTATGTATACAGTAGCTATGCAAAAAACTAATTCAGCATTTTTAGCTTGTAAAATTTGCTGTAAAAATACATGCACAAATACAGATTTAATAAGCTAAGACTAAACACATTTAGATCCATAAATTTAGTGGCATTACTCTACATAATGCACTATACACAGAATGCACAAAACAATCAGACCATATTGAAAAGAGTTTTCAGACATAATCTATGGGAGGGAAATATATTCAATTTACACTTTCTCAAAGGAGACTGGATTTAAATATGGAATATTTACGATTAAGTTACAGATCCTAGACACTGAGCCGGGCTTTGCTTGTTTAATTGATGTGCAGGGAGTGGAGGGTTTCTTCAGATGGGGGTGAAGATGAGTTTATTAAGAGGCTCAGAGGAGCGTAGATGAAGGATGTGAAAATGTGTAGTTTTACGTCTCAGGAATAGCTGAACTCCTCTGTGGCACTGCCCCACAGATTCACTCCTGTGAAACTCTCTGACTGATGTTTTAATTATCACTCTGACACACAGGCACAATGTAGCTGTGTATGCTCACACACACACACACACACACACACACACACACACACACATCAAAAAGTCAGACATACATGTGTGCGAATTTCATCTGCAGACAGATATAGATATGAGACAGACAAGTTCACATATACTGCTGATGTGCATGCAAATGAACGCGCCCATCTTTTCACTCACACACACCTACACACACACACAACCACATTGGTTCCCTGAAATTACCTTAATAATGTCTGAAACATAAAACATTTACAGCATTTTGCTAGTTTACCGGTGAAAACAACTGATGCAAGATTCTGGAGTTCATTTCATATCTTTCTGTGTGTGTATGTGTGTGTGTGTGTCATAGTTGGCTCTGACCTAATTTCCCTGGCCACATGCTGTGTTAGTGCGTCGACCCTGTGATGTCGTCACTGACACCCACAGAGGAACTCGGTCTGTGAGTGTGTGATGTGTGTGTGTGTGTGTGTGTGTGTGTGTGTGTGTGTGTGTGTGTGTGTGTGTGTGTGTGTGCGTGCGCGCACGTGTCACAAGTCATCCCTGATGCAGAACTGAGAGCGACAGTTTTCTTAGATCGTCGTCTCCCTGTGAGTCCGGTTCCATCTGACACTGTTTCCCTGCAGAGGCATGGAGAGGAAACGAGGGAATGATGGAAGGAGGGAGGGAGGGAGGGGAAGATAAGAGGAACAGCTGGAATCTTCCAGTTCTCGCCTCTTCTCCTCCCTTTGACTTCCCAATTTCCCAGTATCAAAGCATCAACACGACACTTTGTGAAAACATGCATTTTCCTCGATTCCCCTTGCCCTTGCTCCCCCACCAATCCCCGATATCCTTTTCTCTCCCCTCATATCCATTTCTCCATTAACTCCCATTCTTTTACTTCCTTTATTCTGGATATTTTCTAAGGTTACAAGACTATTCTGTATCTCTGTTTCATTCTATTTCCCTTTCCTGTACTAATGTTTCAGAAAATTTCTTTCTCCTCATTTATGGATATTTTTATCTCTACTCAAACCTTTCCATTCACATGTTGTTTCATCCTTGAGTCCATAGCTGACCTTCTGAAAATGAACAAACCTTTCTCTTGCTAATTCCAGCAATGGTGACTCTATATGGGTTGCAACATGAAGCTACAGGAGTGAGTACAATGTTGGGCAAATTAATTATCATATATTATATTATATATGAGATCTTGTTAAAAGGCTGTAGTGGAAATAATCAATAATTGTCGTAAATGTTGTAAAAACGTATAGACCGAAAGGTTTGTTCAGACTGAATGTTAAGTGAATTTTTGCTTTTATTTATTCACACAAATTTGACTTTGGTGTAAATGGCCGTGTGTGTGCAGTTTCTGTGCTGTGTGTGTGTGACAGCTCTGATCACAAAATTGACGAAGAACTCAATTTCCTTTGGTTCTTGTCTCCCAGTTTCCCTCCTTTGTTTATCCTGGAACACGTCCCACACACACACACACACACACACACACACACACACACACACACACACTTACAAACACTCGCAGACATTCAGTTCAGTGGGTGTAATTGACACACGGTAAATGTCCTAACAAAGCATAATACCAGAGAAAGAAAGTTGAGTCCTCAGGATGAGTGCAACGTTTTTGCTTAAGTTGAAACCTTTTCAGTGCATCTTTGCATTTTTTGTGCAGCACAGACTGCATATTGATTTTATATGTAGTTGTACGGCCTGTCAGTGGAACTGAGGTTTTTTTTGGTGCCAGAAGGACATTTTGGCACTTAGACTACTTCTGTTGTTCCATCACTCTGTGGCCTCATTAGTCCACATTAACAGACGTTAAGACGTTCTGTCACCGAGGTTCCCACAGAGGCACCTTGCATGGACAACCTGCCGGCTCTGGGCATGACTTTCAAAAGTATTCCTTTGGCATTTCCCATCGTATAGGTTTTAAAATAGAACAACAGGAAGCATAACCAAAAAAAAATCCACCTTTAAAATAGACGAAGCATCAATATGAAGTGCAAACAAAGTTCAGTCAATCAGTTCAAGAGAGAAACATGTGCCCATGAATAAGATGTTATCAAAGCCAGTCGAGCCACTAGAGTAGTGCTAGATTGACAGATGGCCACAAAGACCAGTTCTACAACCAGCTTTAAATGAACACAGTTTGTTTTGGCCTTGAAACAGCATGTCTTGTAACTCCCTCCCCTCTTCTTTCTTCTCTTCAAATACTCACTCAGTTTCTAACTCAAAGACTTCCCATCTCCGTCACTTCCCATCTCAGTCAGTTTTCCTCTCCTCTCTCGATTTCCTCCTTCAGCGACACCCCTTTACTTGTACTTCTTTTCCTCCCATTTCTCCTTTTTGACTAAAAGCTCAATAATGCAACTGTGCATTACTAACACAATTTTCATCACCCCACAACCTTTTTTTCATAGGCTGAATCTTGCTTAAATGGAAAGTACCGATCAATGATTGGCGTCTTTCCAACAACTGGGTTATATTTATGATCATTCTTATAGTTTGAATGTCATCTGGGGAACTGATTAAATGTGTGTGTGTGTGTGTGTGTGTGTGTGTGTGTGTGTGTGTGTGTGTGTGGAGGGGGTGGTGTTGGTATGTTGTTGTTAATATGGACATGCTGGTATTGAAATAATCGCATTCTTTTATTCCTCTGTTGTATTTGATAATCAGCTGAATGGTTCAGTTCTGAGAGGATGAAGATACATTTAGAGTTACATTGAAACGCAGTTCACCTTCAGTTATTGTGACTGAAAATGCAACTTATCTTCTTCAGGTCCCTTGATTGCCTTTGTTGTTATAATAGGCTATCAGATAAACACATTTATACCCTGGAAGTGAAGCTGCCAAGCAGTTGCAGCGCTGAATCAGCTCCGATATCAGCAAAACACTCAAAGAACATTATGTACCTGATTGTGTGCATCATTATTTTTGAGTTGGAGATGCTGTTCATCTCATTTTCTCTCTCCTCATCTCACCACTTTGTTCTGTCTGTATGCATTTTGCTCTTTTTTATTCTTTCTCTTATGCCTTTCTTTCTTTTTCTGGCTTTGTTCTTGTTTTTTTCACCTTTCTCTGAATTGAGTTTAGTGTGTTTTGAGAGTAAGTGGTATGGCTCCATGGATGGCAGTGTGTATATCTATAGGTCCGTCGGATGGATGGATGGTCCACCACTTTGGTCCAGACTGAAATATCAGAGAACTGTAAAAGGATTTGCTCTTGAGTCCTGGCCTTTCAAAACATATGGTCAGATGTGTCTAGCCATAATCAACAACCCCATACATGTCACCTTATGCACATGGAATATTCTTTTTGCATCTTAAGAGCTTTCTGTACTTTTGACTGGAATATCTCAACAACTATAGGATGAATTTCTATTGACTTTTGTTTCCCAGATAATAAATCCTATTGATTTTGGTGATCCCCAACTTGTCCTCGAGTTGAGTGAAATTTTAAACTGTTCATTGGATTGTTATGAAATTTGGTACAGACATTTAAGTTCCCCTTCAGAATGCATTGTAGCTTTGGTTATTCCTTAAAGGTCCAGTGTGTAACATTGAGGAGGTTCTATTGGCAGAAACGGAATATAGTATAATATAATATTATATAATATATGATAATATAAGATAGTATATAACCTTAAGTATCACCTGAAAATAGAATCATTGTGTTTTTGTTGCTTCAGAATGAGTTATTTTTATCTACAGAGAGAGCCAAATCTCTTCCACAGAGTCCCCCATGTTGAACTCCCAAGTTTCTATAGTAAACACCCTACACACTTGGACGGGGAGGGTGATGCGAGGGCATTACAATCAGCAACTACACTGCACGCTGGTCCATTAACCTTTCATTGAGCAAAATTCTAAATTGTTGGACTGTATTTAATGCTAACCACTGAGAGTAATCCTAACATGCTAACCTAAAATGGTGAACATGGTAAATATTATATCATCTCACATGATCTGAATGGAGCAGAGGTACAGCTGAGGCTTGAAAAGTAAAGCTTAGACTGATCAAACTTGAGGTACAAACATGGCCTTTCTTCAGATCAAAGTAGTGACTCCAATTTCATCTATCCACCAATTCTGCTTTCTGGGGGGGTAATGAGCAGTAAACACCCACAAGGCTAATAGTATGGTTACAGACTTAGTATTGTCTACATGTAGGCTGCGGGCAGTTTCTTTGGATTTGTTGTCTCTTTCTCTGTGAAAAGATGCTCTATAATTTTTGTTCTTGTGGATAAAGCAAATATTCACAGCTGGATTTGTTTTTTGGTCCAGATGAACACTGGTATGAGAAAATAAGTGGATTGTCTGTCATTTTAAAACAGTGCTAATCTCAGTTTCATCAACAGAAAGCGCTATTAATAATTCATAATCAATTGTATTATTTCAATGTGTGCTAGGGACTTCAGATGCATTTTTCCAATTCTCTTTCCCTTTCTTCTCTTATTCTAATATTTATCTATCTCATTCCCCTTTATCTCCCCCTATTAGAGGTTTAGCCATGTGAAAGAAGTGTCGCCACCTGTTGGTTTATATAATGACCCACGCTGTGCCCTGGAGCTGCTGAAGAAGACCACCGGAGTGAAGAAAAGCCCTTTTGGCATCACTGCAGTGCGCTTCACTCGTAACCACAAAAAATGCTCCACACCAGGTCAGTGCGTGTGTTGTTGTGTGTGTGCCAGTCTATTGTGTGTTCAATTTAGATGATGTTCAAAGGGCTATTCCTCTGAGTTATATTTTGCAAATGCGAAGCAGGGATCTAGCATTGTTCTGTTTGTGCAATAGACAGAAAATGTTGTTGCTTTGCACAGCTTTCTTGTACATAAATACATATCTTAATATGGATCTTACTCAATAAGTGAGTCAATAACTGAGGCTTGTCTCTTAATATCAATACCCTGCAGATATCATTAGCTGTTGAGTGTCGCCTAATAATGTTTGAGGGCAGTATTTGCTACGGTTCTCTTTCTTTTCAAAGTTCTGTAAAAGTTGGCCATTATATTCAATCTTACAAGTTATAATCAAGAATAAGTACTGCTTTGAGTGTGTTCATATTGTCTCAAGAGTAAACCATTATGTTGTTGAGGTTTGAGTCACCTAGTTTTGCATCCAGCCATCCAGCTCAAGTCTAAAAAAGGTTAAGAATTTAGATTTTTTCATTATTATAATCTGTTTTATCTTACAAATTAAATAGTAGCTCAGAATATTGATCAATAATATAAAAACTAAAATCTTATATGTATTTTTTCTTATTGGTGAAACTGCATATATTATATTGAACAGCAGCCATTTATGTATAAAAACCCTTCAGACTTTACCACCACATTAATGTTTTTGAGAAGAGTCTCTTCTCAAAAACATTTCTTAGTATAACTGAACTTGAGGGCATTTCATGATTTGTCTGTACAGATTAAATGTTAGTGTGGCGTTCAAGTGCAGGGCCAAAGGAGACATTTTACATAAAGGTTGTACCACATGGCTGATTTTAATGGCCTTCCTTCAATTCTTTCATTGTTAATCTTAGTAGACATTGTACAGAATATGTACTGTACTTCTTTTGACACAAATAATTTGTTCTTAATAAATTATATTATCAAACTCTTTTCAGAAATTATGATTTTAATCCACATTTTTTCATTATTAAGTCCAAGGAAAAATATCCAAACTAGACTTCTTATGTTTTTTTGTCAGCAAAACACAAGTGTTTGTGTTCCCTTGCATATTGTTGCATTTCACCATTTACCTGCATCATCATGTATCATGTTTATATATTCTGCATGTGTTATCAAATTGATTAAAATGTTTTCTGCATTAGCTTGAGTCTCTAAATTGCTTGTGAGTGTTTTCTTAAGTATGCAACTTTTCTCAGCCACGTTATTAATAGAAAAAGGGAGAACCATTCTTCTGTGTTTTTGAGCCTTTTCTTCTCAAGCTGTTACCAAAGCCGGCATTCACACATGCAGACACGGCACTGTAGTGTTGACGAGACAACTACTAAAATAGCATTAACATGTGCGTGTATCCATATGAAATTCAGTGTTGCGCAGGTATAGCGCAGGTGTCATTTTCCGCTTAAGCCAACACTAGCACAACACATGAATATTACACTCACTGCCAAAAACCTAAAAACACTAATCCAGAGTTACACCTATGCTACATGTCTGTGTCTTCACTGTAGGTCTGTGTAAATTGCTTTGCAACATCATGGAGGTTTGGTGAGAACTTACAGGTTTGAGGGAAAGTAAGCCCTTCAGGATGTTGTCTTGAACCATTTGAACTTAAGACAGTGAATAAGAAGGACTATTTAAAAACATACTCTACACAAATACATAACCCCCCTTTTCTGTACTTTGCAGGTCCAGGATCCTATAATGTGTTTGAGCATGGTTTAGCCCGGGAGAGTTTTAAAAAGGCATTTTTAGAGAGAAGCAGGAAGGGAGGCTTTGGCTCCTCTGCTGAACGCAACTCCATCTTCCACAACAAGGAATCGATAGAGGCCCCAAGTCCAGGACAGTATGAGGTAGGAAGATCCATCAATAAACTGGTCATTCATTTATTTTTCTTTATTTTTTTTCTTTCTTTAGAGATACATGTCCTGATAATTAGGTTGAAATACAAAGCTCTGTCATGACTTGACAGAAAACTATATCCTCATTGTAATGTGTGTATGTGTGTTAATGCTGTGTGTTTGCATTCAGGCAGAAAAGAAGACAGAGGAGCACTACAAAAAGCAGCACACGGCAGTTTTCAAATCAGCCACAGAACGTCCAGCATTTTCATTACCGGCTAAAGTAAGCCTCTCTATGCTCTTTGTTTCCCTAGTTTCCCCTACAGTTGTCTTTGTCTCACTCTTATCCTCACAACATGTTTCAGTTGTAAAGCAGTTGAAATCTACTTAACAGAAGAGTCTAAGATGGAGTAAAACAGCATTACATGCCAAGTTTTTACTTTCATAAATGGGCCATCGCAGTGGTAGCATCTGACCCAGTATGCCAAGGGTCCTGTTTTCCAGCAGTTAATTTCCTTTGACTGCTTCTTTTCTTCTTTTCCCTCTTCCTCCTAATGCTCATTTATGCTGAAGAAAACAGGTCACAACTCATAATGATTACTTTCTTTTTCCTCTCCCACGTTCCTTTCCCTTTTTGCTGCGATCTTCCTTGTTCCTCTGTCTCCTCCCTTTCCTGACTTTGAATCTGATGTTAATATAAACCTAATATATTCACTAGTGCTTTCAATCGATAAAAAAACGAATTAATTGCACAATTACTTGTCATTAATTGCAATTAATTCACTTTTTCTTCTTCTTAAGACTGAAGCTTGATAAATTATTGTAATTTAAAGGTAAAATCTTGGGAGTAATGTTGAATGTAAGTATATTGAAATTCAAATACTATGCACTTCTCGTTTAATCACAGATTGTGTCACTCCAATGTACTAGTTTCTGTAGGGTATTTTGTTTTCAGGTGATGTGTCAAAGATGAATTACTTCTCTGGTAAATATATTCAGCTTTGCAAACTGTGCAGATTACTGCAAAGATCCGTCGGGCAGCTTCTTAAAGTGAAACTCTCTGCCTAAAACATCCTTGTCCTTATCGATCTTTAACCAGGATAGTTCAGTTCGGCGGCACACCAGGTTATGGGTCAACCACCACAGGAAGTAAACAGCCAAAGTTAACATTTAAAACACCATAAATTCAGTATATTTCTAGGGCAGTGTGTTTTTAATGATTGCATCCATTTTTAAATTTGAACTTGTTCACTTCCATATGCTATACCCTTGTCTTTTATATTAATTAATACTCCAGCATTGTGCATACTGTACTTATTGTTAATGTCAACAAATAAATAACAGCAACAATGGTGCTACATTAGAAAAAGTGACAAAGCTGAATATCTTTACCCTGTGTGACACAGGATGGTGTTTACTTGCATATAAATAATGTGCTAATGAAGAAACACAGAGAAGCAGCTGGGTGTGAGGGTTAGCGATTGAATCCTACTGACTCTAGTATTGAAAAAATGTTCTAGGAGAAAATTATGTTAAGTGCATGCTACAGCATTTTAATATTCAAGATACACAGTTTGTATTTTCAAGTACTCTTCTGGGTACCAGCTGGTGTTTACTCTGATTAACTCCAAAGGTTAGAAATGTTATCTAAATCTTGAGGCAAAGGTCTCCAGAACTGATCTTAACACTGCAAACTAAGCTCCTCTCTAGAAAGACAGAGTTTAAAGGGTAATTCAGCACTTTTCACAGGGGGCAGAAAACTGGGTGTACTGCTGCACATCAGTGGGTTTGGTCTGTCATCTTGTAGCTTTCATACACATCCCTCACTCAGTTCTCACGCTGGTATAACTAACTTCTTTACAATAACATCGCAGCAGGTGTTTTTCTTCACATGCAGTCGTAGCATGGAACACATTCACTGGTAACTGGAATACAGTTTTTCACCTACCCCAAACCTTATTTTGGAAGTATGGCTTGCTTTTGTGAACTGTATTAGTAATAGAAGACGCTGTTCCCTGACTTTTGGTTGGGCATTGTGTATGTGTGTATCCAAGTAGAGTGACAGCACAGAGAGACAGAAGGCACACCTTTTCTAACCCATCACCTTATGTATAGTTCTACAGTAGAGACTACTTTGTGTAGTTTAGTTGGCTTTGATTTAATTATTTCAAATATAAGGATTCATCGCTACGATTTTTCCTTTCATTCTCTTCATATATGCACATGTACATGTGAACAGGCTTTAAGAAAGAAAGGTTATACGTATGCATGTATAGGAAGTTGGGTTTCCAGGAGCAATCTAGCTGGGGAAATCAGATATTGCCTCTCCCCTACCTCAATAATGGAAAACAGGTAGTTTACATGACATATAAACACAAAAGAAAGCACAGGTGGAGATTTTCCACCATTTGTGATCCAGTGTACAATGACTGTTAAACTGTTACATCTCTGAGAAGTGCTGTATTGTTCACAGAAGGTATTTTTAAAGTCTTACAAATAACAAAGCAAATTTGTGAAACTTAGAAAACAGCTGAGCTTAGGTCTCACCAGGCCCAGTATTTATCAGTCCTCACCGTCAGGACACAGAGCCCTGCTGGTTTTCATTCCTGCTGTCTAATCAGGGAGTGATTTGCACTTTGGACACCAAGTGAATGCAATTAACTACCTGGTAGGACATAAAACCAGCAGGACTCTGGGTATGGAACAGCAGGATTGAGAACTACTGCCCCTGCGAATAAAAAGCGGAGCCTGAAAAATATGCAGGTGTTACACGTGGAAATATCACCAAACACACTTGCATTAGTGAGTGAGCATACTATACATCAGCAATCTGCATTGGGAAGTTCTCTTGCCTTCCTATGTACTGAGGTCAGAGGTCAGGGTCATCTGGGGGAAAGGAAAGTCACTTAAATCGCTGTGCCACCCTGCTGTGCCAGCATAGTAGAAAAAGAATCGTACTGTATGTCTCTGCAACTAATATACCACCGGGCAGAACATGCTGTCTCTTACAGTTTCAGTTTTTTCACTCATAGTTTTTGTCTACAGCAGTTTGGACAAACTCAGTCACCAACTCGTGTGTATTTATACATTTGAATTATTGTTGGAGTGACAATGTTTGTGCATCCAGATAATGTGAATCACTCACATTTCGTGCATATCACAAATGAACTTAAGCGAGTGTGATGAGACTCATTAGAAAATTGAGAATGATCCATTAGGAATTCTGGTGCCGATCGCCTCTGTAATAGTTTCTACCTCATATATCTGTCTGCACTGTTCGCAATTTTTCATGACAATGGCTCCGTGTAGTTTTCTGTCAGGCTGCAGTATATTGTGCTGATGGATGATCTGGCTCACTCAGAACTCTTGGTGTGCTAAATCCTAATGTAGACAGTAGAAACCTGACAGCCGTACTGCACACAGTCCGAGTAATGGTTGTGTTTCACATTGTCATGCACTGATATAGTGTAGCTACAGTATAGAACTGGATGTTGGAGGTTGGAAAGTTCAAATGAGTCAGTGGTAGACCTAAATTATATGCCAGACACACAGAGTGATTAAATATTTAACAATGGCTTTAACTTAGTGCAATTCCCAGCAGCAGCACCTCCAGCCTCCACCACAAACATAATTGGCCGCACTGGCAAGTGGGGAGCTGGTGAGGTCAAGGTGAAAATGAGCGGCTGGCGGCACCATGTGTTACGGAGGTAGCACATGTCTGTCTGCGGACCTCCTCAGGCAAACAGCAGGGTTAGCAGGGACAACAACTGACACAGAGTTAGGACTTGCTAAAGTGGGAGAAAATGTAAAAAGACAACAATAGCTTATGGAACTGTTCTGTAAAGATTCAATATTACCTCTACATTTTCCTCCCTGTCTCTATATTTTTTTTTTTAGTACCACAGAGTGCTCCGTGAAGAAGATCTGAGGCCACTTGTAATGGCCCCACACAGAGCCTCCTTTATGACCAGTTAATGAAAAATCACCCAGGGACGTCTTAGCTGTAACAGTTAGCCACATGCCGCGCTGCAGCCTAGGCTGTATCCCTGGTAACAGTACCCCACTGGGACGGATATTAAAAGTGTCTAATCAGGAAACAATCACGATCATGAGAAGGGGGTACGACAAGAAAGAAAAGAAAAAGAATAAAGGCTGATAGTACGTCTTTATTATTCGTTTATGTACTTTGTGTTAAAAGCTTCATGTAGCAGCAAAGGTCGACATATTGTTGAAAATATTATTCACACTGCCTGGCTTTTCAAATCAGAAATATAAAAGTCACACCATGACCACTGAAATGATAGAAGCTGTGTTGTGGGGTGAATTAAACACAACAGGGAGACCTGTTATCTGGCTTCCAGAGGATGTTTATTACATTCGTTCCTCTGTCATTGCTATTAGCTATTCTGCCTTTTCTTTTTAATTTCTTTTGTTTCTCAGTCTTTGTTTTGTTTCGAGGTAAAGTCCAGTCTATTTAGTTTATTTATTCTCTTGGTACTGCGAATTTCAAGTCCGTCTCTTCCCAAATCCACTCTATAAGGATTACATTGCCAAACAGTGGTTAAATACACATCGAATAACAGTCATGATTTATTTAGGTAGATTTTTCTTATCTTGGGGCATGCCTTCTTTCAAAGAATGCTTAAATTTCTGACAGTCTAAATCAAACACACCTCAAGTTCAAATATTTGAAGCTTTGTTGGAGCTGTACTTTAGCTACAGGTCTGGATCTGATAGGAGTTGATTACCTGTCTGTGGAGAAGAAATGCTCAGACACATTGTTGAGAAATGACAGATCTGAAGAAGAGCTATTTTTCCTGATCTCCTCTCTCTTCTCTTTCTCTTATTTTCCTTTCATCCCCCTTTCCTTCCTCCTTCTACCCCACATTCCCTCCTCTACATTTCTTGCCTTCTCCTCCTTCCTCCTGGCCAAGCCTTCCTGATAATGACCTTTTTGTTGCGGAGGTCGTGGGATACCCTCAGGCAGCGCTGGGAGAGAATAAGTGTGGAATTTAATTTGGCCCAGTGTTTCACCCCGAGGCAGTGGAATTCCTCTCCCTTCTATAGATCAGTGAAATATTGCCCTGTCCCTTGAAGCCACAGGAGAGAGGTTTGACAAGGCGTTTTGTCTGTCTGTCTGTCAGTTTTCACTAATATGCTCCTGCCTCTTGTCATCTCAGTCAATTTTGTACCAATGATGTCGAGATTAATAGAGGTCCTGATGGATGGTTATTGGTACACCCAGTGGGATTGAGAAATTGTCAATGACAAGGGCGTTGGTTC